CACACACACATACAGACACACACACACATACAGACATACACACACACATACAGACATACACATACAGACACACACACACATACAGACACACACACACATACAGACACACACACACACACATACAGACACACACACATACAGACACACACACACACACAGACACATATACATACATACAGACACATATACATACATACAGACACATATACATACATACAGACACATATACATACATACAGACACATACGCATACATACAGACACACACGCATACATACAGACACACACGCACACATACAGACACACACGCACACATACAGACACACACGCACACATACAGACACACACGCACACATACAGACACACACGCACACATACAGACACACACGCACACACATACACACACATACAGACATACACACACATACAGACACACACATACAGACATACACACACCCCAATAGTCCTGTAATTTTCCACAGTAACGGTACGGCACGGCCGAGTTTGGGTGCTTTTCCATCAAAAATAGTACCTCCTGGTATCTCCTCAGCGTTGCCAGAGCACAACATTTACGCCCGACGTGTGGTAACATTGGTCTACCCCCTGTAGTACTGACTATTGCCTCCAGGGGGCTCCTCTTACCCCCTGTAGTACTGACTATTGCCTCCAGGGGGCTCCTCTTACCCCCTGTAGTACTGACTATTGCCTCCAGGGGGCTCCTCTTACCCCCTGTAGTACTGACTATTACCTCCAGGGGGCTCCTCTTACCCCCTGTAGTACTGACTACTACCTCCAGGGGGCTCCTCTTGCCCCCTGTAGTACTGACTATTACCTCCAGGGGGCTCCTCTTACCCCCTGTAGTACTGACTATTACCTCCAGGGGGCTCCTCTTACCCCCTGTAGTACTGACTACTACCTCCAGGGGGCTCCTCTTACCCCCTGTAGTACTGACTATTGCCTCCAGGGCGCTCCTCTTACCCCCTGTAGTACTGACTATTGCCTCCAGGGGGCTCCTCTTACCCCCTGTAGTACTGACTATTACCTCCAGGGGGCTCCTCTTACCCCCTGTAGTGACTAGAGTCTTGTAAACTTTTACAGTGAAATGTAAAGATCAAAGTGCAATTGTGCAATTTTGAGGACCCTCGAAAACGAGACGTTCAATGAATAAAAGTAACGCTGACTCTGACTTTGATCTTCTTCAAAGGTAAAGATCAAAGCACCTCTGACTCTGACTTTGATCTTCTTTAAAGGTAAAGATCAAAGCACCTCTGACTCTGACTTTGATCTTTTTCAAAGGTAAAGATCAAAGCACCTCTGACTCTGACTTTGATCTTTTTCAAAGGTAAAGATCAAAGCACCTCTGACTCTGACTTTGATCTTTTTCAAAGGTAAAGATCAAAGCACCTCTGACTGTGACTTTGATCTTCTTTTAAAGGTAAAGATCAAAGCACCTCTGACTCTGACTTTGATCTTCTTTAAAGGTAAAGATCAAAGCACCTCTGACTCTGACTTTGATCTTCTTTTAAAGGTAAAGATCAAAGCACCTCTGACTCTGACTTTGATCTTCTTGTTGCAGATATTTCTTGGCGAGCTTTTACACAAAGTACGACTTGATCCATTTCGTGATAAACACGGTGTCTCTGCTGACCGTGCTGATCCCCAAACTGCCTCAGCTCCACGGGGTCCGCATCCTGGGCATCAACAAGTACTAGACCGGGACCAGACCGGGACCAGACCACGGTCCAGGACCTCCTCAAGGACCAAGGACCAGGACCAGGACCCAACCTCAAACCCTGCAGTCCAGAAACTCAACAAGAAACTTCACCAATGAATGTCTCGCCCTAAATCACATCAGTATTTATCTGTGAGGACTTTCTGAAGTTGTTGATTCTGCCACACAGATCAGAGAATCAAACACAGAGACAATGGTCCAAAAGGAGCAGAGTCCACGGTCCAAGTCCTGGATCTGGCCTCAGACCTTCTGCATCGACAAGTAGAAGACTGTTTGACCTCAGCCTCAGACTCCTGGACTGAACCCAGACCCAGACCTCAGCCTCAAACAGTCTGTCTCTGCCTCTGTCTCTGCCTCTGTCTCTGCCTCTGTCTCTGCCTCTGCCTCTGCCTCTGTCTCTGCCTCTGTCTCTGCCTCTGCCTCTGCCTCTGCCTCTGCCTCTGTCTCTGCCTCTGCCTCTGTCTCTGCCTCTGTCTCTGCCTCTGCCTCTGCCTCTGTCTCTGCCTCTGTCTCTGCCTCTGTCTCTGTCTCTGTCTCTGTGTCTCTGCCTCTGCCTCTGCCTCTGCCTCTGTCTCTGTCTCTGCCTCTGCCTCTGTCTCTGCCTCTGTCTCTGTCTCTGTCTCTGCCTCTGTCTCTGTCTCTGTCTCTGTCTCTGTCTCTGCCTCTGCCTCTGCCTCTGCCTCTGTCTCTGTCTCTGCCTCTGCCTCTGCCTCTGTCTCTGCCTCTGTCTCTGTCTCTGTCTCTGTCTCTGTCTCTGTCTCTGCCTCTGCCTCTGCCTCTGCCTCTGCCTCTGTCTCTTCCTCTGTCTCTGCCTCTGCCTCTGCCTCTGCCTCTGCCTCTGCCTCTGTCTCTGTCTCTGCCTCTTCCTCTGTCTCTGTCTCTGCCTCTGCCTCTTCCTCTGTCTCTGCCTCTGCCTCTGCCTCTGTCTCTGTCTCTGTCTCTGCCTCTGCCTCTGCCTCTGCCTCTGTCTCTGTCTCTGTGTCTCTGCCTCTGCCTCTGCCTCTGTCTCTGTCTCTGCCTCTGCCTCTGTCTCTGTCTCTGTCTCTGTCTCTGTCTCTGCCTCTGTCTCTGTCTCTGTCTCTGTCTCTGTCTCTGCCTCTGCCTCTGCCTCTGCCTCTGTCTCTGTCTCTGCCTCTGCCTCTGTCTCTGTCTCTGTCTCTGCCTCTGCCTCTGCCTCTGCCTCTGCCTCTTCCTCTGTCTCTGCCTCTGCCTCTGCCTCTGTCTCTTCCTCTGTCTCTGCCTCTGCCTCTGCCTCTGCCTCTGTCTCTGCCTCTTCCTCTGTCTCTGTCTCTGCCTCTGCCTCTTCCTCTGTCTCTGCCTCTGCCTCTGTCTCTGTCTCTGTCTCTGTCTCTGCCTCTGCCTCTGCCTCTGTCTCTGTCTCTGCCTCTGCCTCTGCCTCTGTCTCTGTCTCTGCCTCTGTCTCTGTCTCTGTCTCTGTCTCTGTCTCTGTCTCTGTCTCTGTCTCTGTCTCTGTCTCTGCCTCTGCCTCTGCCTCTGTCTCTGTCTCTGCCTCTGCCTCTGCCTCTGTCTCTGTCTCTGCCTCTGTCTCTGTCTCTGTCTCTGTCTCTGTCTCTGTCTCTGTCTCTGTCTCTGCCTCTGCCTCTGCCTCTGCCTCTTCCTCTGTCTCTGTCTCTGCCTCTGCCTCTGCCTCTGTCTCTGCCTCTTCCTCTGTCTCTGTCTCTGTCTCTGTCTCTGCCTCTGCCTCTGCCTCTGTCTCTGTCTCTGCCTCTGTCTCTGTCTCTGTCTCTGTCTCTGTCTCTGTCTCTGTCTCTGTCTCTGCCTCTGCCTCTGCCTCTGCCTCTTCCTCTGTCTCTGTCTCTGTCTCTGCCTCTGCCTCTGCCTCTGTCTCTGCCTCTTCCTCTGTCTCTGTCTCTGTCTCTGTCTCTGCCTCTGCCTCTGCCTCTGCCTCTGTCTCTTCCTCTGTCTCTGCCTCTGCCTCTGCCTCTGCCTCTGCCTCTTCCTCTGTCTCTGTCTCTGCCTCTGCCTCTTCCTCTGTCTCTGCCTCTGCCTCTGCCTCTGCCTCTGTCTCTGTCTCTGTCTCTGCCTCTGCCTCTGTCTCTGTCTCTGTCTCTGCCTCTGCCTCTGCCTCTGCCTCTGCCTCTGTCTCTGTCTCTGTCTCTGTCTCTGTCTCTGTCTCTGTCTCTGTCTCTGTCTCTGCCTCTGCCTCTGCCTCTGCCTCTGTCTCTCTCTGTCTCTGCCTCTGCCTCTGCCTCTGCCTCTGCATCTGCCTCTTCCTCTGCCTCTGCCTCTGCCTCTGTCTCTGTCTCTGTCTCTGTCTCTGCCTCTGACTCTGTCGTCTTTTATCTTCAGAGTGAATGTTGAATGTAATAATGTTGTAGTGGCAGGTCTCGGGCTGGTCCCGGTCTCGGGCTGGTCCCGGTCTCGGGCTGGTCCCGGACTCTGCACAGACCTGAGTCCAGTGAAGGTACGACTGCTATGTTTGGGAAACGATTTCTATTGAAGTGAATAAAAGTCTAAAAAGTCTGGATCTTTTTAACTTCATTTTTCAATTTCAGTGTTGTGTTGTTATTGTGTTGTGTGTTCTGAAGACTGTGCTGAACACCTGCTGGAGGAACATAAGAATCTCAAACTATAAACTCCAGTCCACCATCAGCTCTGGTCCCTGAGCTCCCTGAGCTCCCTGTGCTCTGGTCCCTGAGCTCCCTGAGCTCTGGTCCCTGAGCTCCCTGAGCTCTGGTCCCTGAGCTCCCTGAGCTCCCTGTGCTCTGGTCCCTGAGCTCCCTGAGCTCTGGTCCCTGAGCTCCCTGAGCTCTGGTCCCTGTGCTCTGGTCCCTGAGCTCCCTGAGCTCCCTGTGCTCTGGTCCCTGAGCTCCCTGAGCTCTGGTCCCTGAGCTCCCTGAGCTCTGGTCCCTGTGCCCCAGAGTCTCTCTGACATGTCTAAGTTCCTGAACGGTAGTTTATATAAAGTGCTGAGTTTATTGTGTTGTAAATGACTTTAGTAAATGTTTCTATATAAATGTTTTAAACAGTTGGTCTTGATCACACTTTCACGTCTTTAACAGATGTTTCATCCATCCATCCATCCATCCATTTTCTACCCTTTAATCCATTTCTGGGTCAGGGGGGTGGCAGTCAGAGATGCCACCCAAGTCTCATAGCACCAGCCCCTCACTGACCCTCTGCAGGTGGTGAGTCCACAGGAGGACGGCTGCTCTCTGACTGTGAGCATAGCCTTGATCTTTCAGTGGGGGCTTTGGGCAAAGTGGGGTTAAGTGTCTTGCCCAAGGACACAACGACAGCAGTCATCAGTGGGAGTCGATGGGGCTAGTTTATGTCTGAGCTTTTCCAACGATAGAAAAGAAAGAACCTCCTTCAACCACTGAGAAAATGACGGGGCCCTGTTAGATTTCCAATTAAATAATATTAATCGACGCGCGAGTAAAGTTGAAAACAGTTTACCTGTGACGATGTCATTCCAAAAATAGCTCTTCTGAAATCAGGAGCCAGATCTTGACCACAAATACAAGACAATACGTGAAAAATGTTCCCCCAATAAGTGTCTAGACTAGGACAGGACCAAAGCATGGGGCCTCCAGAGGCCGGGCTCTGACCTCAGGCTGGCTGAGTCCAGAGGCCGGGCTCTGACCTCAGGCTGGCTGAGTCCAGAGGCCGGGCTCTGACCTCAGGCTGGCTGAGTCCAGAGGCCGGGCTCTGACCTCAGGCTGGCTGAGGCGATGAAGAACTTTAAACTGGATCAGTGGCGAACACAAAGGGAAGATGTATACGAGTCAGGATTTCCATTCCTCGTCCGACAAAACAATATAGGTTTTGTTTGTTGCATAGTTTTATACAGTACAGAGACGCGCTTCCTGCTCAAATCAAAGAAGTCTGAAATCATGTTATCTGTACGCACAGAAGCAACAGGAGTCCAGTGTCTGGGAACAAATCCAAATTTCTGTAAGAAACAACATCCAGTGAAATGATTATCTCTGATTTGTCCGTGTTTTCTGGCATATGTATAATATTAAGTAAACGCCAAAAACTGATATTATGGCTTGCGTCATGGTTTGAGGTAATTTACTGAGACTAAAACTTTCTTGATAGACTGCTTTGTCAACAAAAACTTAATAATAATCAATGGGAAAGGCCCTGTGCCCTTTGACCCTGCATCCATTTCATTGCCTGATTTCACCGGTTGTTATCTCTTTTTCAATCTGAGTTCTACTTCCTGGAGTAATCTGTGGAATAGGTAATCCATCTAAAAAGTTAGCTAAGCTTATTTCATTAACAGACTCAAAACTGTAAAGAGTAGGATCATATTGTTTAAAGTCGTCATGAATGGTTTTCGGATCAGCAGTCTTCTTCTCCCGGCCCCTTCGCCGTGTTCATAGAAGGTTTGTTTTGGTCTGAGAAAAAGATGCTCTGTTTGTTTCACAGAGAGTCCTTCAAATTCAGAATTCAATAGTAATTTTCTTGGACAGAGTTCTGGTGTTGGGCCTTCTGCATAAAAGCGATCTATTTCCTTTATATTCTCAGACAGTTCATTAGTTTGTTATGTACTTCCTGCGGCAGCTCAGGAAAGCCAAGCTGCAGTTCTACACGGCCATCATCGAGTCCATCCTCACCTCCTCCGTCACCTCCTCCATCACCTCCTCCATCACCTCCACATCACCTCCTCCAGCACCTCCTCCATCACCTCCTCCATCACCTCCTCCATCACCTCCTCCATCACCTCCTCCAGCACCTCCTCCATCACCTCCTCCAGCACCTCCTCCAGCACCTCCTCCAGCACCTCCTCCAGCACCTCCTCCATCACCTCCTCCATCACCTCCTCCATCACCTCCTCCAGCACCTCCTCCATCCCCTCCTCCATCACCTCCTCCATCACCTCCTCCATCACCTCCTCATCACCTCCTCCGTCACCTCCTCCATCACCTCCTCCGTCACCTCCTCCATCACCTCCTCCATCACCTCCTCCATCACCTCCTCCATCACCTCCTCCATCACCTCCTCCATCACCTCCTCCATCACCTCCTCATCACCTCCTCCGTCACCTCCTCCATCACCTCCTCCGTCACCTCCTCCATCACCTCCTCCAGCACCTCCTCCATCACCTCCTCCATCACCTCCTCCATCACCTCCTCCATCACCTCCTCCAGCACCTCCTCCATCACCTCCTCCATCACCTCCTCCATCACCTCCTCCATCACCTCCTCCATCACCTCCTCCATCACCTTCCTCCATCACCTCCTCCATCACCTCCTCCATCACCTCCTCCAGCACCTCCTCCATCACCTCCTCCATCACCTCCTCCAGCACCTCCTCCATCACCTCCTCCATCACCTCCTCCATCACCTCCTCCAGCACCTCCTCCATCACCTCCTCCATCACCTCCTCCATCACCTCCTCCATCACCTCCTCCATCACCTCCTCCATCACCTCCTCCAGCACCTCCTCCATCACCTCCTCCATCACCTCCTCCAGCACCTCCTCCATCACCTCCTCCAACCACTCCCCTCTCACCTGCACATGGACTATTCCAACCACTCCCCTCTCACCTGCACATGGACTATTCCAACCACTCCCCTCTCACCTGCACATGGACTATTCCAACCACTCCCCTCTCACCTGCACATGGACTATTCCAACCACTCCCCTCTCACCTGCACATGGACTATTCCAACCACTCCCCTCTCACCTGCACATGGACTATTCCAACCACTCCCCTCTCACCTGCACATGGACTATTCCAACCACTCCCCTCTCACCTGCACATGGACTGTTCCAACCACTCCCCTCTCACCTGCACATGGACTATTCCAACCACTCCCCTCTCACCTGCACATGGACTATTCCAACCACTCCCCTCTCACCTGCACATGGACTATTCCAACCACTCCCCTCTCACCTGCACATGGACTATTCCAACCACTCCCTTCTCACCTGCACATGGACTATTCCAACCACTCCCCTCTCACCCTGCACATGGACTATTCCAACCACTCCCCTCAGGCAGGAGGCTGCGGTCCATCAGGACTAGAACCTCCCGCCACAAGAACAGTTTCTTCCCCTCTGCTGTTGGACTCTTGAACACTTCTTAACCTGTCCCCCCGCCCTTTATAAAGTCACTTTACTGCCCATCATACGTCACTTTACTTCACTGTACTGCTGTCACCTTACATTGTGTGCACCATGTGCACTTGTATATTGTAAATAGTAACTGTAACTCTATTTTAAATTTAAATTTATTCTTTAGAAGTGTTTTTTATTCTTATTTTTATTATCTCTTTTTGACTGTTGCACTGAGCCAAAGCAATTTCCAAGTCTGTGACTTCTGTTACTTACGTGGCAATAAAAATGATTCTGATTCTGATGTTTTTGTTTATCCCTTTTCCTTTGAAACGCTGAGTAAGACATTATCTGACATCTAATAAACGTTTTAAAAGCTTCCCAGATAATACTCATCTGCCTGGGGTTTGATTGAGATCCATAAAATAATCCATTTGTTCGTAAATCATACTTTTAAATGAATCATAAGACATCAGTCGAGGCCTGGGGCTCTCTGAGAATCTGAGATCCAATTGGACAGGACTATGATCTGAAATGACAATGCTGTTGTGTTGCCAATCAGTTACATCTGGAAAAATCTCTCCATCTACAAGGAAAAAATCAATCCTTGAATATGTGCGGTGCACAGGAGAAAAAAAGGAAAATTGTTTGGTTATTGGGTTTAAGTTTCTCCATGGTTCCAAAAGACCATAAGATTTGATGAAGTTGTGAATAACAGAGCTGGCTTTTGAAAGTTTGCTCCTGGATTAGATCTATCTAAATGTGGAAGGAGCACAAGACTAAAATCTCCCCCGATATCAGTTGTCTTTCTGTGATTCTGGTAGAATCCCTGTTACGGTGGAGAAGAAGTTAGGATCGTCATAGTTTGGTCCATATATATTCTCCAAAATAACCTGTTTCCATAATTTACCTTTCACGATGATGTACCTCTGTTATCTGCAATTGTTGTTAGTGGAATGAAAGGAATTCCCTTTTTAATCAGAAAGTCGCTCTTGTCTTAGCATCGTGCTTTGAGCTAAATATCTGCCCTATCCAAGGTTTTATAAGTCTGTTCTGTTCTAACGCAGATGTGTTTTGATACATCAGACTTAAACTCTAGAGCGTTTAATTGGATTATTAATACCCTTAACATTCCAACTGCAAATCACCCATTTAAGTCTATTGTAAAATTAAATCTATAATACAATAGAAAAATAAAAATACAGTTGTTTCTGCCCAGTAAAACAAGAAAAAAGAAACCAAAAAGGAGCCAACAATTAAAAATAAATAAAAACCCTGTGCAGATCTACTATAGAAAATAAAAATAGAGATCGCATCCCTGATAGCAAAACGCAACAGCTAAACATCCAACTCCTCAAGTCAACACTCTGAACTTTGTCAAAAACATTTTATATATATATATATATATTTTAAATGTCTCTCGGGGGGAACATGTACAACAACATTCTCCTTTACAAAAATCAAGTAGGTAGATACGACTAATACTACAAATAAGTGAAAAAAAAATAATAATAATAACAATAATAAAAAATAAATCAACTCTTACAATGGCAAGAATTTTGTTTTTAGAATATCACCAGAAAACATCAAGAACAAGCAAAGAACGAAAAAGAAAGAAGTTCAAATGTCCATCATAGATTATTTTACCAAATGGACCTTCTGTCAGCGACTCACCGCGGGCTGTGTCCTCTGTTCTTGGGTTAGGGCGCTGCTCTCGACCCGACGTGGGAGTAATGCGGAGTGTTGCAGAGTAATGCGGAGTGTTGCAGAGTAATGCGGAGTGTTGCAGAGTAATGTAGAGTGTTGCAGAGTAATGCGGAGTGTTGCAGAGTAATGCGGAGTGTTGCAGAGTAATGTGGAGTGTTGCAGAGTAATGTAGAGTGTTGTAGAGTAATGCGGAGTGTTGCAGAGTAATGCAGAGTGTTGCAGAGTAATGTAGAGTGTTGTAGAGTAATGCGGAGTGTTGCAGAGTAATGCGGAGTGTTGCAGAGTAATGCGGAGTGTTGCAGAGTAATGTGGAGTGTTGCAGAGTAATGTAGAGTGTTGTAGAGTAAATAAGCCCAAATCTGACGTCTGTGCAGCTCCGGAGAAGCCTCTTAACCTCCGAAAAGGCAGCTCGTTTCTTGGCTACATCAGAGGTGTAGTCGGGAAAGATACTTATCTTCTTCCTGTAGAAACATTGTAGAAACATTGGTGCAGAACTTGCCCTCCAGAATACTTGCTCCTTTTCTTGAAAGTAGTGAAACTTCACCACAATCGCCCTGGGCGAGTCTCCATCTTCAGGCTGCGGTGTGCACGGTCTAATGTCGGGACAAATTCGAGACTCAGTAGCTCTTTCAGCATAGTGCCAATCACTTCTGTGGGTTTACCGGACGTTTCCGAGCTTCTTTCACTCCAATAATGCGAGCATTACATCGACGTTGTCGTCCTTCCAAGTCATCTATCTTTTGAGTTAGCTTAGCCACCTGTAGCTTCAGCTGGCTAACTCTGCTCCTCCACTGTCCGATCAGAATATTCGCTTAACCCCGACTCTACTTCTTGGAGACGGACATCTTGGCTCACCAGGTCCGACTTTATGGATCCTATCTTGTCATTTAAATCCTTCGTGCTCGAGTTGATACGTGATAGAATCTTCTGCTCTGAGCTAGCAATAGCTTCCATCACCACAGTCATGTCCCGAGGTTGCGGCCCCAGCAACAGGGCTCCGAGCCCGAGGCTTTTGTGGCTCTTTACCACTTCTTTTGGTAATTTTTCTCGCCGTCAAAGTTGCAAACTTTCAGAAAATCACGTCCATATAGTTCACTGACATGTTCCTTCAGCCCAAAAGAGTTTTAGCGAGTGTTGAAGCTATTAAATAATGAAAAACATGTTCCCCGCCACGGAGCGCTGTAAAACCCGTCCTCACATGGCTACGCTCACCAGCGCCCCCCATAAGAACATGTTTTACTGTTTGCTCTTGCTTCAGTGTTGGCACAACCCATCAGGGTGTCTCCCCATTTGAACCAGATCCCACCCTAAACCACAATGTCCCAGTCTAAGCCTGGTTAAAATGACGGCAGGTTTCCGATCCTTCCCTGTGTATACACTCTGAGGTTTTACTGACGGGTTAATATCATAGTAATGGCGCCCCCACACTACTCTAACCTCAATGTCCTTTTTTAAAGCCCACTTTGCTGCCATATCAGCCACTTCATTTCCAAACACCCCGATATGAGCAGGGACCCACATAAAGCCAACACTATTGCAGGCCCTCTCAATTCTGAACAGGGAAGACAGTAGCTCTGCAGCCAGATCAGGCCTAGCATTTGCTTCTCCTCCCCCCAAAGATTCTGTCAGGGATGAAGCAGACAGAGACGGATCGTGGTGCGCCAAACTCTGGAAGTTTATTTAAGTTTCTCTCAAGTTCCAGTGGTTTCTGTTGTTTCTTTCGGCACGGTGGCTGAGTGGATAGCACTCTCGCCTCTCAGCAAGAAGGTCCTGGGATCGAATCCCGGCCGGACCAGGGCCTTTCTGAGCGGAGTTTGCATGTTCTCCCCGTGTCTGCGTAGGTTTCCTCCGGGTACTCCGGCTTCCCCTACCACTAAAAATATGTCCAATAGTTCTGGCATGCGCTTCCTGTACTGGCCCCGCTCCCATCTCTGTGTGGAGTGAGAGACAAATGCCCAAAATTAACAATTGTAAACCGCTTTGAGACTCAGATCTGCAGTGAAAAGGCGGTATATAAATACAAACTTACTTACTTACTTTCTCTCAGACAGAATAAAGTCAGTACACAGTTTATATAGTCATTGTCACGTCACACATGGAAAGACGTGTCACACAGAGACAGTCACATCAGAGTCAAAATAATGAGAGTCCTTGTACAGTCCTGCACGTAGGCCATATTGCTATCTAATACTAACAATTCCAAAACAGATGCAGGGTCTGAACATATCACCGTCTTCTCCTGCTTAGTGAGCTCAGCAGTGTACACAGACACATCAGAAGCCTTTTAAACTGTATCATATCATTTTGTGTAAGCTCTCAGTCGTACAGGGATTAGTCTAAGCAAAGGAAGGTTTCTCACCCATCATCTGTACTTCTTAGCAAGTTTTCCCGACGTTTCGTCCTCAACCTAGCGGACTTCTTCAGGGGCTTCTTCCCTGAAGAAGTCCGCTAGGTTGAGGACGAAACGTCGGGAAAACTTGCTAAGAAGTACAGATGATGGGTGAGAAACCTTCCTTTGCTTAGACTAATCCCTGTACGACTGAGAGCTTACACAAACTTATCGTTGCCAACTTTGGGAGAGACGCCCTGGTCTTGGCACGCGGGTTGGAGAAAATCAAAAGAAAATTGGCAGACGCCAGAAATCATCTTAGGTTTAATCTTAGGTGTAGCCAGAGTAAACTTATCCCAAAATGTTTAAAGCAAAAAGCATTAGAAACAGGCCAGTTGGCAAGAGAAATACAACAAAACTACTGTATGAAGATTCTCAATTTAAGAATTTGACGACTTAACATAGAGATTATAAACCTAAAAGACGAGATAGAGTGCCTTAAGCACAAACTGGAATTGGCAGTCTCACCAGAGTTTTTTCAGAGGATTTGGACATTTACGGAAACTGCCCAACTGAACCATCACAAGAAGGCCAAAGAACGTCAGATAGGCAAATTTCTAAAACTCCAAAACCATAATTCTTTTCAACATTCTAAAAGTGAAATTGGACAAGGCTTGGACAGGGAGAATTGGGTCAAAAATCTGTCCGATCGGCATTTATCACAAGCGGAAAAAGATGTTCTTACTAAAGGCCTAAATTTTGCAATAACCCCAAAAGACATTCCTACAATTGAATACATCACAGCAGCAGAAGCAGCCATTAGAAACAACAAACTAACTGAGAGTGAGGCGGGGGCCCTCAGACTGAGAGTCTCTGCAACACTCAAAAGTGCGAAGCCCCCACAATCCAATGTCTCATTAGATGAGCAAAAAGCATTAATGGCATTACAAAAGGATGAGAGTATAAACTATTTTACCAGCTGACAAAGGCAGATGCACAGTTATCCTCAACAGCTCAGACTATGAGGCCAAAGTTAATCAGTTACTCTTAGACACCAACACGTACCAGCCATTGAAGAGGGACCCTAGCAGTGGGTTTAGGAAAAATATTATAGACTTCCTTCAGAGCTTAGTGAAAGAGGGCATTATTGAAAAACCACTATATTACAAACTTTACCCAGGAGACACCATTCCCAGTATTTATGGACTCCCAAAAATACACAAACAAAACTTTCCACTTGGGCCTATTGTATGTAGCATAGACTCTATCACCTACAACCTGGCTAAACACCTCAAAACCATTCTGGCTCCTTTGGTGGGTAACACCCACCATCACATAGAAAACACTAAAGAATTAGTAAATAAAATCAAACAAGCTCCAGTTTGACACAGATGAGACAATGGTCTCGTTTGATGTGACATCACTTTTTACGTCGGTCCCTATTACAGAGGCGGTGGAGGCTGTAAGAGAAAGCCTACAGAAAGACGCCACACTAGGGGAGAGAACAAAACTAACAGCTGACCACATCTGTGAAATACTGGAAATGTGTCTTAACACCACGTATTTCCAATTTAGAGGCACCTTCTTTAGACAGATTCATGGCTGTGCGATGGGCTCCCCAGTCTCTCCTATAGTGGCCAATCTGTATATGGAGAAACTGGAGGAACAAGCCCTGGCCTCTTACCAAGGGACAGCGCCAAGCCATTGGTTTCGATATGTAGACGATACATGGGTTAAGTTAAAGAAACAGGAAGTGGAACCATTTTCAGAACACATTAATTCGGTGGACCCTTTTATAAATTTCACTCGCGAGGATGCTAAGGAGAGTGAACTGGCCTTTCTAGATTGTAAGGTCATCATACTGGAGAACGGACAATTAGAGACTGAGGTCTTCAGAAAGTCCACTCACACTGACCAGTACCTGGCCTTTGATTCAAATCATCCGCTACAACACAAACTCGGGGTCATTAGAACGCTTCAACACTGAGCCCACCAGGTCCCCACTAGCTCGGAGGGAAAGAACAGAGAAACCAAACATGTTCAGAGAGCACTTTCCAGATGTGGCTACCCCAAGTGGTCTTTTACTAAAGCCCAAAGGACGAGAAAGGCCAGAGACACAGTCCAACAGACAGAAGAAAGTAGGAGGAGAGGGGTGTCCTTACCGTATGTGGCGGGAGTTTCAGAGAAACTACAAAGAATCTTTAGGCAACACAAAATCCCTGTGTATTTCAAACCTTTCAACACGTTAAGACAGAAATTAGTGCATCCCAAAGACAAAACACCCAGACACAAACAGAGCAATGTGGTGTATTCAATTAAATGTAGTGAAGAGGAGTGCACTGACCACTATATTGGAGAAACCAAACAAACTCTACAGAAACGACTTTACCAACATCGTAGAGAAAACTCTAGTGGGCCACAGTCGGCTGTTCATCTCCACCTCAAGGCCTCCAACCACACGGTGGATGACACAGAGGTTAAAATTCTGGCTCGGGAGAAGAATTGGTTTGAGAGAGGGGTGAAAGAAGCCATTTTTGTGAGGAAACAAAAACCTTCTCTTAACAGAGGAGGAGGGTTAAGATTTGTTTTGCCTCGCATCTATGACGACATCCTAAAAACAACGCCCTAACTTGGGACAAGGTCAGTGACATGCTAATGAGTTAGGAGGGGGTGAGACCTGCACTCCATTGAGCATCCCAGCAGACAATAGGTCTGTGACATGCTAATGAGTTAGGAGGGGTGAGACCTGCACTCCACTTGAGCATCCCAGCAGACAATAGGTCAGTGACATGCTAATGAGTTAGGAGGGGTGAAACCTGCACTCCACTTGAGCATCCCAGCAGACAATAGGTCTGTGACATGCTAATGAGTTAGGAGGGGTGAAACCTGCACTCCACTTGAGCATCCCAGCAGACAATAGGTCAGTGACATGCTAATGAGTTAGGAGGGGTGAGACCTGCACTCCACTTGAGCATCCCAGCAGACAATAGGTCTGTGACATGCTAATGAGTTAGGAGGGGTGAGACCTGCACTCCACTTGAGCATCCCAGCAGACAATAGGTCTGTGACATGCTAATGAGTTAGGAGGGGTGAAACCTGCACTCCACTTGAGCATCCCAGCAGACAATAGGTCAGTGACATGCTAATGAGTTAGGAGGGGTGAGACCTGCACTCCACTTGAGCATCCCAGCAGACAATAGGTCTGTGACATGCTAATGAGTTAGGAGGGGTGAGACCTGCACTCCACTTGAGCATCCCAGCAGACAATAGGTCAGTGACATGCTAATGAGTTAGGAGGGGTGAGACCTGCACTCCACTTGAGCATCCCAGCAGACAATAGGTCAGTGACATGCTAAGGAGTTAGGGTCGTTAGCCTCAGCAGGGTCGTTAGACCTGCTCCCTTCTACATCAGACCTTAGATTGTTTATGAGTTAGTATCAGGATTAGGGTGTGGCTTACCACACCCATAGGTTATAAATCTCCAACGCGCGGTCCGAGAATTCATTCCCTGAAGAAGTCCTTTGGATTGAGGACGAAACGTCGGGAAAACTTGCTAAGAAGTACAGATGATGGGTGAGAAACCTTCCTTTGCTTGTATCATATCATATTCTTGGACATAAAAGGAAAACCCTGTCTTTCTAGACCTGGGATCTTTTGACCCATCAGTATAAATGTGTAGGAATCCCTCCCACCTGCTGCCTAAAGCCTGATTCACCAACGCCTCATAGTTCAGGTCTACCTTTGAACAAAACATCAGGGACATGTCTATCTCTGGAGATGGCACAATCCATGGATCCATGTGTGGAGCCACTCCCACTTCTCCCAACCCTAGTCTTTGCATTTCTTTTGCCATTTTATAAACAAAAGGTTCACACTTCTTTGCACCCCATTCCCAAGAGTCCTCCAAAGCCTGCTGTGTGGGATGTGTCCCTGGGTATGCTGAAAGTTTGACCACATATTGCATTGCTAACTTAGATCGTCAGATTGACAGGGGAGTTTCACCATTTCCACAAGAAGAGCAGGAATTGGAGATGTCCGGAGTGCCCCACACACACCCTTAATGCCTTCGCCTGCACAACGTCCAAACGCCCAAGACGTGACCCTGCTGCCGCCCCATAACAAATACATCCATAATCCAAACTTGACTGGATCATTGCTCTGAACATCATCGACTGGGTTTCCCAGAGGCATTATGAACTTCCTGACAGAAGACACCACATTACCTCTTCACATTAACAATACATTCCATTTGATTTTTCATCAAAAGTCACACCAAGAAATGTAAGATGTACATCCATTGTACTTCTACCTTTTTGAAAACCACTTTGCACTCTACTTAACCAACCCTCACTCTCTAGCTTATATACCAACCTCTCAGAGTCACCATTCTCTCCATAACTTTACATAAGACAGACGTTAGTGTGACCGAGGGAAGGAATACATTCATTTAGCATAAAACCAAATTACAATTCACCAAGTTAAAAAGGTCAGCATCACCACCTAGGTTAAGGACCTAGGACCTATTTTAAAACACAGGTATAAAATCACTGGAGTGAGCAGTGCAAAATAAACCAGCTGATACGATTAAAAGATTACAATAAAAAAATGTTAAAATGAGCAGGCGAGTGCCGTAAAACCAGTCAGTGCAAAGAGAGATTAAAAGCCGCTGCAGTGGACGGTCCTGGTGCTCCCGTGTCCTCACCCTGGGCCTCGAGACCAGCACCTCTCGCCGCTCCTGAGGGAACAAGAACAGGACCGCCAGTGGGGGGATTGTTGGCCCCGGAAACCCCCGCCCCTTCTGGTGCCACTCACCGGGCCTGAGCGGCCGTTTAGACAGCTGCGCTCTGGCTCGTCCCGCTGCGCTCTGGCTCGTCCCGCTGCGCTCTGTGGCTCGTCCCGCTGCGCTCTGTGGCTCGTCCCGCTGCGCTCTGTGGCTCGTCCCGCTGCGCTCTGTGGCTCGTCCCGCTGCGCTCTGGCTCGCTGCGCTCTGGCTCGTCCCGCTGCGCTCTGTGGCTCGTCCCGCTGCGCTCTGTGGCTCGTCCCGCTGCGCTCTGTGGCTCGTCCCGCTGCGCTCTGTGGCTCGTCCCGCTGCGCTCTGTGGCTCGTCCCGCTGCGCTCTGTGGCTCGTCCCGCTGCGCTCTGGCTCGCTGCGCTCTGGCTCGCTGCGCTCTGGCTCGCTGCGCTCTGGCTCGCTGCGCTCTGGCTCGTCCCGCTGCGCTCTGTGGCTCGTCCCGCTGCGCTCTGTGGCTCGTCCCGCTGCGCTCTGTGGCTCGTCCCGCTGCGCTCTGTGGCTCGTCCCGCTGCGCTCTGGCTCGCTGCGCTCTGGCTCGCTGCACTCTGGCTCGTCCCGCTGCGCTCTGTGGCTCGTCCCGCTGCGCTCTGGCTCGCTGCGCTCTGGCTCGTCCCGCTGCGCTCTGGCTCGCTGCGCTCTGGCTCGTCCCGCTGCGCTCTGTGGCTCGTCCCGCTGCGCTCTGGCTCGCTGCGCTCTGGCTCGTCCCGCTGCGCTCTGTGGCTCGTCCCGCTGCGCTCTGTGGCTCGTCCCGCTGCGCTCTGTGGCTCGTCCCGCTGCGCTCTGTGGCTCGTCCCGCTGCGCTCTGTGGCTCGTCCCGCTGCGCTCTGGCTCGCTGCGCTCTGGCTCGTCCCGCTGCGCTCTGTGGCTCGTCCCGCTGCGCTCTGTGGCTCGTCCCGCTGCGCGCTCTGGCTCGTCCCGCTGCGCTCTGGCTCGTCCCGCTGCGCTCTGTGGCTCGTCCCGCTGCGCTCTGTGGCTCGTCCCGCTGCGCTCTGTGGCTCGTCCCGCTGCGCTCTGTGGCTCGTCCCGCTGCGCTCTGGCTGCGCTCTGCGCTCTGGCTCGTCCCGCTGCGCTCTGTGGCTCGTCCCGCTGCGCTCTGTGGCTCGTCCCGCTGCGCTCTGTGGCTCGTCCCGCTGCGCTCTGTGGCTCGTCCCGCTGCGCTCTGTGGCTCGTCCCGCTGCGCTCTGGCTCGCTGCGCTCTGGCTCGTCCCGCTGCGCTCTGTGGCTCGTCCCGCTGCGCTCTGTGGCTCGTCCCGCTGCGCTCTGTGGCTCGTCCCGCTGCGCTCTGTGGCTCGTCCCGCTGCGCTCTGGCTCGCTGCGCTCTGGCTCGCTGCACTCTGGCTCGTCCCGCTGCGCTCTGTGGCTCGTCCCGCTGCGCTCTGGCTCGCTGCGCTCTGGCTCGTCCCGCTGCGCTCTGGCTCGCTGCGCTCTGGCTCGTCCCGCTGCGCTCTGTGGCTCGTCCCGCTGCGCTCTGGCTCGCTGCGCTCTGGCTCGTCCCGCTGCGCTCTGTGGCTCGTCCCGCTGCGCTCTGTGGCTCGTCCCGCTGCGCTCTGTGGCTCGTCCCGCTGCGCTCTGTGGCTCGTCCCGCTGCGCTCTGTGGCTCGTCCCGCTGCGCTCTGGCTCGCTGCGCTCTGGCTCGTCCCGCTGCGCTCTGTGGCTCGTCCCGCTGCGCTCTGTGGCTCGTCCCGCTGCGCTCTGTGGCTCGTCCCGCTGCGCGCTCTGGCTCGTCCCGCTGCGCTCTGGCTCGTCCCGCTGCGCTCTGGCTCGTCCCGCTGCGCTCTGTGGCTCGTCCCGCTGCGCTCTGTGGCTCGTCCCGCTGCGCTCTGTGGCTCGTCCCGCTGCGCTCTGTGGCTCGTCCCGCTGCGCTCTGTGGCTCGTCCCGCTGCGCTCTGTGGCTCGTCCCGCTGCGCTCTGTGGCTCGTCCCGCTGCGCTCTGTGGCTCGTCCCGCTGCGCTCTGTGGCTCGTCCCGCTGCGCTCTGTGGCTCGTCCTGCTGCGCTCTGTGGCTCGTCCCGCTGCGCTCTCTGGCTCGTCCCGCTGCGCTCTGTGGTCTCGTCCCGCTGCGCTCTGGCTCTGGCTCGCTGCGCTCTCTGGCTCGTCCCGCTGCGCTCTGGCTCGTCCCGCTGCGCTCTGGCTCGTCCCGCTGCGCTCTGGCTCGTCCCGCTGCGCTCTGGCTCTGGCTCGCTGCGCTCTTGTTCGTCCCGCTGCGCTCTGTGGCTCGTCCCGCTGCGCTCTGGCTCGCTGCGCTCTGTGGCTCGTCCCGCTGCGCTCTGGCTCTGGCTCGCTGCGCTCTCTGGCTCGTCCCGCTGCGCTCTGGCTCTGGCTCGCTGCGCTGTCTGGCTCGTCCCGCTGCGCTCTCTGGCTCGTCCCGCTGCGCTCTCTGGCTCGTCCCGCTGCGCTCTCTGGCTCGTCCCGCTGCGCTCTCTGGCTCGTCCCGCTGCGCTCTCTGGCTCGTCCCGCTGCGCTCTGGCTCTGGCTCGCTGCGCTCTCTGGCTCGTCCCGCTGCGCTCTGGCTCGCTGCGCTCTGGCTCGTCCCGCTGCGCTCTGTGGCTCGTCCCGCTGCGCTCTCTGGCTCGTCCCGCTGCGCTCTCTGGCTCGTCCCGCTGCGCTCTCTGGCTCGTCCCGCTGCGCTCTCTGGCTCGTCCCGCTGCGCTCTCTGGCTCGTCCCGCTGCGCTCTCTGGCTCGTCCCGCTGCGCTCTCTGGCTCGTCCCCTGAGCTCTGTGGCTCGTCCCGCTGCGCGCTCTGGCTCGTCCCGCTGCGCTCTGGCTCGTCCCGCTGCGCTCTCTGGCTCGTCCCAATGCGCTCTGTGGCTCGTCCCGCTGCGCTCTGGCTCTGGCTCGCTGCGCTCTCTGGCTCGTCCCGCTGCGCTCTGGCTCGCTGCGCTCTGGCTCGTCCCGCTGCGCTCTGTGGCCTGTTTCACACCGCACGCCGAGCGCAGAGCCGAGCGCCCTTTCCAGCCGAACTACCTCGCAGCGAGCGCATGTATTCAGACTGACGCCGAGCGTGGGCGAAGCGCCTAGACGAGTAGCACGCACAAAAGGAGTAGTATTGTACTCCAAACTAATAAACATGTTGTATATTTACATATGTTGTCTGAAATAACAGGTCAGAAATCAAAATAGCACATGTAGACCTTAAATAAATTGCTAACATTTCCTTATAATGTATCTTAAAGCCTATTTTGATTGTCGTTTCATTATCATAGTTAATTATAAGGTGTGGGGAAGGCCTGGATCTCCATGGGGGTTAAGGTTAGGTTATAATTATTATAATATATATATATATATATATATATATATATATATATATATATATATATATATTTTATATATATATATATTTATATATATTATATATATATAACAATTATATTTTATGCATAAAAAAAAGTATGACATGGAAAAGTGTGTAATTAAAAGAATAAACTTATTTGTACTTATGCATTACAATAATGAGATTAGATAAACGTGAAATTGCTTTATAAAAGTTATTTTTTGAATATTTTCGTGCTGAAAGCCGCTTCGCTGCGCAGCCTACACGCGGAAAAAATGCGCTCGAGTTCCATTTTTGGTTTCAGGAGCGGAGGCCGCAGCGGCGCGCGCCGATTCCCTGCGCGCCGCCTCAGCGCCGGTCTGTACACAGAAGAGCTTTCTCATTTGCACAACAGGACGCGACTTGAAGCGCAGCTTGCGAATGCACGCGAGCGGGTTTCGAAGACGAATTCGTTCACAAATTCGTGTGCGGTGTGAAACAGGCCTGTGGCTCGTCCCGCTGCGCTCTGTGGCTCGTCCCGCTGCGCTCTGTGGCTCGTCCCGCTGCGCTCTGTGGCTCGTCCCGCTGCGCTCTGTGGCTCGTCCCGCTGCGCTCTGTGGCTCGTCCCGCTGCGCTCTCTGGCTCGTCCCGCTGCGCTCTGTGGCTCGTCCCGCTGCGCTCTGGCTCGTCCCGCTGCGCTCTGTGGCTCGTCCCGCTGCGCTCTGGCTCGTCCCGCTGCGCTCTCTGGCTCGTCCCAATGCGCTCTCTGGCTCGTCCCGCTGCGCTCTGGCTCGTCCCGCTGCGCTCTGGCTCGTCCCGCTGCGCTTTGTGGCTCGTCCCGCTGCGCTCTGGCTCGTCCCGCTGCGCTCTGGCTCGTCCCGCTGCGCTCTGGCTCTGGCTCGTCCCGCTGCGCTCTGGCTCGTCCCGCTGCGCTCTGGCTCTGGCTCGTCCCGCTGCGCTCTGTGGCTCGTCCCGCTGCGCTCTGGCTCTGGCTCGTCCCGCTGCGCTCTGTGGCTCGTCCTGTTCCGCTTGTTTGTGCCTTCCTCCGTGTCTGTCCTCGCAGCACTTTTCAATCTTTATCAATTGTCCTTGATACGCCACAGGTGCGCATTTGACAGACAAGTGGGTGGGGCCTGCACACTTTACAAAAACGCATGCATTAATAATAAAAACAAAATCATGCAATAAAACAGGTGCATTAAAAGGCCATGTCCCACATTAGGGCAATGGGTCTGTAAGAAGCTGCCTGTGACGGCTCCTTTGCCGGCTTCAAATTTGGTACAATCACTGCCTGCTTCCATATCTTTGGGAGATTACCCTCTTCCAAACTATTATTAATTAGTGCTAGGAGCTCATCTAAAACACTCTTGCTCACTCTCTTAAGTAGCTATTATTATACGGCTCCTCACAGCAGCAGGAGAACCATTGATCTGAATGTCATTTCAAAACGTTCTATGGTCATTATTTTCTATAACGGACCTCTCAAAACAATAATGACCGCTGCCCTTTGGCAACGCACTCTCTGCTTGTCTTTCAAATGCGTGGATAACTCCGACAGTAGTTCTGGCCACTCCGGAGCTTGCCACGCTCAATCAACACACTTAAATGTTAATCGGAGAATACTTATACATATACATTCTTCACACACGTGCACGGAGGATTTCAGAATTTTCTGGTCTTGTCTTCATGACAAAAATACTATTTCTCTGCGTCAAAAAGCGATCGTGAAAAACCCGGAAGTAGTTCCGGCCGCTCAATAAACGCAAATGCCAATCAATCAACGCAATGAAATGTTTATCAGAGAGTAATTTATACATATCCAGTCTTAATACAAGTGCACGGAAGTTTTCAGAATTTTCCGTTTTCATGACAAAAACACTGATGTAATGTGAGAAAAGGTGATCCCGAAAAACCCGGAAGTAGATACGGCACATTTTAGGAACATTTGCAGAGGATGGAATTATGGATTTAGGTTAAGTTTATGTTTGGGTCACTCACCGCTGATGTTCAGGATTCTGTGTTCAGTTTTCATGCAGTTCCAGAGAGTTCTAGTTTGGAAGTTGCTAGCCTAACTGTTGCTAGCATAGCCACGGGAAAGCCTTTGGGAACTATTTTATTTTCTGTCATTAAATAAACCTTTCAGCATTTCTAAAAGTGGACTGAGGTTTATGTTGTGTGTTTTGTTGGTATAAAGCCGTATAATAAGCGGGATAACGTACTGTATATGAAGCAGGTCATTATCGGAAAATAAGTCCCTTCAGGCGAAACGTTGGGGTCCGCGTCGCCTGAAGGGACTTATTTTGACATGCGTAATATACGTTATCCCTTACATACACATCTAGACCAGATACAGTCCTGCTTTAGTCCTGCTTTAGTCCTGCTTTAGACCTGCTTTAGACCTGCTTTAGACCTGCTTTAGACCTGCTTTAGTCCTGCTTTAGACCTGCTTTAGTCCTGCTTTAGTCCTGCTTTAGACCTGCTTTAGACCTGCTTTAGACCTGCTTTAGTCCTGCTTTAGTCCTGCTTTAGACCTGCTTTAGACCTGCTTTAGACCTGCTTTAGTCCTGCTTTAGACCTGCTTTAGACCTGCTTTAGACCTGCTTTAGACCTGCTTTAGACCTGCTTTAGTCCTGCTTTAGTCCATTTTGTTCATCTTTGATCCTGGTCCTGGTTCCATCGATCCGTCTTGTTTCATGAATATTAATGAAACAAAACACCGAGTAAATATTTGATTACAACGACCAGAGGTGTTGAAGTAAACCAGGTCAAAACAGGACTAAACCCGATCTGTTTTCTGGTTTCTACGTCTTTTCCTCCAGATTTGCAGTAAATCTGTCAGAGTTCCCCTGCTCTGGACGCTGCAGAGAGGCAGCACCACAGCCCGTTTCGTCCTGCAGGTTCTTTTGGTTCAACAAGAGACAATACCAATGTTAAAACAGTAATAGAAATGACAGACACCAAACCTGATTTCAGATGTTATATTGAAGATTTGCAAGCAACATTACAAGATTAACGGTCTGCGAACACAGGTCTCGCTTCGCGTTGAAGATAAGAAGTGGCCCCGGGGACGTCTTGCACCCTCCTGGTCAGAAAAAGCCCCCGTGCCTCCTCCTGTACATCTTTTATACTGTACATCCAAGGTCACTGACATCACAGATTTGTGGACTCTATGACTTCTTCTGGCCAGCTGCCAAAACCTGCACCTGCTTGATAACAAGTCTAGTTTTTCTCACTTTTCATACAGAACTGCTACTATTCAGAAATAATAACCTTGACCTAACTGCTCTTTGAAATTTACACAAACAAGTGCTTTATAGACCTAATCATTCTGACGTTTAAGTTGTTTAAGTATTAATTTAGCAACAGAAACAATACTAAACTGATTTTAGTTTAACTGGTGCAGGAGGCCTTTAATATTCCAACAGATTCCAGGAACTTCTTATAGGCGAGATCAAAGGCCTGTCCGATGGTCAGGGTGATCTCCTCTGCCTGCAACACAACACACAGACACACAACATCAGAGTGACACACAACACACACACACACAACCCTGGATCCTTCTCTGAGGGTAGTGATAGATGTGTGAAGTGTAGTGTAGTCGTAGCTCTGGAATCCAGGGTCAGTGAGTTAAAGCTGCGTCTCCGAGCACTGGAGTCTCGAGCTAGCGCTAGCATTAGCTACAGCCAGGCCGTATCCTCAGGGACAGCGGAGCGCAGCTTTAGGGAAAGGCAGAGGAGAACTAGCGAGCCTAGCCTCCCAGCCCGTCCTCCGCAGCTGGGACAAGACCAGGATAGTGATGGCTTTGTGACTGTTCGGAGAGGGCCACGTGTTGTTGGTAGTTTCCCCTTTGGGCCTCCTCCTGTTAGCATTTACAATCACTGGGACGCTCTGTCGGGGAAGAAGGCCCCACTGAGAGAGCCGCTGAGAGAGCTGCTGAGAGAGCCGCTGAGAGAGCCGCTGAGAGAGCTGCTGAGAGAGCTGCTGAGAGAGCCGCTGAGAGAGCCGCTGAGAGAGCTGCTGAGAGAGCCGCTGAGAGAGCCGCTGAGAGAGCTGCTGAGAGAGCCGCTGAGAGAGCCGCTGAGAGAGCCGCTGAGAGAGCTGCTGAGAGAGCCGATGGAGTCGCTGATGCGCTGGTAATTGGCTCCTCTATTGTTAGAGGTGTTAAGATCCCAGGAGCCACTGTTCGGTGCTTCCCTCGGGCCAGGCTTGGTGATATTGAAGGGAATCTGAGGCTCATGATGACCCACAAGCAGCGTTTCCGTCGAATTGTTATTCACGCGGGTGGTAATGACGTTCGGCGGAAACAGTCCGAGGTGTTGAAGCTGCAAGTCGCCGCCGTGTGCAAGCTGGCTAGCACAATGGCCGACACTGTCATCTTCTCTGGGCCCCTACCTAGCACTAGCAGTGCAGAAGCATTCAGCAGACACTCGGCTTTCAACCGCTGGCTGTCTGGCTGGTGCCCTCCAAGTGGTGTTGTTCATGTTGACAATTGGAGTGCCTTTTGGGGAAAGCCCGGTCTCATCCGCTCGGATGATATCCACCCAACGTTGGCGGGTACATCCCTTTTGGCTAAGAATTTGGCCCTGGCTCTAAACTGTTCTGCTCGGCTCAAATGACGATGCAGAACTGAGGCCCGGGTGCAGAGCTGCTCTGCCACAACCTCTGAGCCCCCATCTGTTCAGTTACTAGCCTCAGAGGCTAGTCAGATTGAAACTGTGTGTGCGTGTGTGTGTGTGCCTGTGTGTGTTCAGTTACTAGCCTCAGAGGCTAGTCAGATTGAAACTGTGTGTGCATGTGTGTGTGTGCCTGTGTGTGCTCAGTTACTAGCCTCAGAACCTAGTCAGATTGAAACTGTGTGTGTTCCTCGCTTGAAGTCTAAAGCACTATATGAGGAAATCTGACCTAGGTGTCAGACACAGTAACTTAATAAAAGTTCAGACAGAAATAGTTCTAGCGGTAGGGTTGTTAAATGTGGTTTAATGAACGTCAGATCAATCTCGTCTAAATCGCTTCTCATAAACAAACTTATTATAGACAAGGGCTTGGATCTGTTTGCGCTCTCTGAGACTTGGCTCCAACAGGACGACTACGTTAGATTGAATGAGTGCACTCCTCCGCCGCATGTTAACTACCAGAAAGCCAGAGCTACAGGTCGCGGCGGTGGTGTTGCGATTATATCACACACCAACTTGGTTCTTAGTCCCAAAACCAACAACGCTTTTCACTGGTTTGAAAACTTAACACTTTCAATCACCTGTCCTGGGTGGAGAAAACAAAAAGCAGTACTATTTATAGTTTTATACCGACCTCCTGGTCCTTACAGCGAGTTCCTAACAGAATTCTCTGACTTCATTTCAAACCTAGTTTTGGAATGGGAAAACATAGTTATAGCTGGAGACTTCAATATACATGTGGACGACAGCACTGACAGCTTAAACAAAGCTTTCAGCGCCGTACTAGATGGTGTTGGTTTTACTCAGAATGTTGAGGAACCTACTCACATTCATAACCACACCTTGGACCTTGTCCTGACCTACGGCTGTGATGTCTCCAATGTTGACATCCAGCGTCAAAGCTCGTTGCTGTCTGACCATTTCTTGATCACGTTTGATCTCGCTTTGGAGGACTTTCCTGTCCCGCAAGATAAAACCATAATGAAAAGAACCTTAAATGATAAATCTATCACAAGGTTCAAAGAACTAATACAGCCTATGTTGAATACTGCTGCAGGTGAACCTGTTCACAGCTGCTGCAGTCCCTCAGTCATTGACCAAACGGTGGGCAACACTATGGAGTCTTTAAAATCTGCATTAAATGCAGCAGCTCCTTTAAAACAGAAAACCATTAGGATTAGATCATCGTCGCCCTGGTACAGTGTTCAACTCCACACTTTAAAACAGGACGTCAGAAAATTGGAGAGGCTATATCGCCACTCCCACTCGGAGCCTGTCCACAGGGAGTGGAAAGCAGGTCTCCGAAACTACAAGAAGGCCCTTCGCGGGGCTCGAACTCAATACTATTCAACTTTAATAGAAGCGAATAAAAACAACAGTAGATTTTTGTTTGGTACCGTCGCTAAACTCACAAACTGCCATAGCGCAATCGAGCCTAAAATTCCAAGCTCACTGAGCAGTGTCGACTTTCTCCACTTCTTTAATAATAAAATTACATCCATCCGTGACAAGCTGGAGGAGGTTGCTCCTGCTGTTAGTGGTGGACAGGCTGAAGCGGCATACGTGACTTCCCACTTAGACTCTTCAGTGGGCCTTAATAAATTCATGGCTGTGAGCCAAGCAGAGGTGATCTCTGTGGTCACATCCTCAAAAGCCTCAACTTGCATGTTAGACGCAGTCCCGACATGGCTCTTCAAAGACATACTTCCTTTGATAATTGAGCCTATCGTAAATATAATAAACGCATCCATACAATGTGGCTATGTCCCACAAGCTTTTAAAACCGCGGTAATCAAACCCCTTCTGAAGAAAACAAACCTGGACCCAGAAATACTTACAAACTACAGACCGATCTCAAACCTCACTTTTATATCTAAAATCCTGGAAAAACTTATAGCTGAGCAGCTCCGCTGCCACCTGCAGGAAAATAATATGTTTGAAGTCTTTCAATCAGGATTCAGAGCTCATCATAGACTGAAACGGCACTAGTCAAAGTCACAAATGACTTACTACTAGCTGCTGATAATGGACAAGTGTCAGTGCTGGTCCTACTGGACCTTAGTGCTGCATTTGACACAATAGACCACAGCATTCTACTGCAGAGGCTAGAATGGGATATAGGTCTTAGAGGAACAGCCCTTGGCTGGTTTAAATCCTATTTATCAGATCGATATCACTTCGTCAACGTAAATCAGAACTCGTCGCCTTATTCTGGAGGTGAATTCGGTGTGCCGCAGGGTTCGGTACTCGGACCGATTCTTTTCACTCTCTACATGCTGCCGTTAGGAAACATTATTAAAAAGCATGGAATTAATTTCCACTGCTATGCAGATGACACACAGCTTTATCTGTCGATGAAGCCTAATCAGACAGATCAGCTAGAAAAGCTCAGTGCTGCATAAAGGACCTTAAAATGTGGATGACTCTTAACTTCCTACTTCTCAACCCGGAGAAGACAGAAGTGATCCTACTCGGTCCGAAGCGCCTGCGTGACTCCCTCACTAACCAGATAATTACTCTGATAATGTCAGTATAATACCCAGTAACACTGTGAGGAATCTTGGAGTCATTTTTGACCAAGAACTCTCCTTCAAGGCTTATATAAGCCAAGCAACTAAAACGGCGTACTTCCACTTACGGAACATCGCTAAAATCAGGAATATTCTTCCTAAAAGTGACGCGGAAAAACTCATTCACGCTTTTGTCACCTCAAGACTCGACTGTAACGCTTTACTGGCAGCGTGCCCTAAAGCCTCTTTGAAGAGCTTCCAGCTCGTTCAGAATACAGCAGCTAGGATCTTAACAGGTACCAAAAGGAGGGAGCACATAACTCCGGTGTTAAAATCACTCCACTGGCTCCCTGTGGAGTACAGAATAAAGTTTAAAATCCTTCTCTTAACATATAAAGCCATAAATGGCTTGGCTCCTTCTTATCTCCAAGACACGTTAGTGTCGTATCAACCAAGTCGAGCGTTGCGCTCACAAAACGCCAGACGTCTGGTGGTTCCTAAGGTCTCAAAGGTCACTGTTGGTGGCAGAGCATTTAGCTCCAAGCTCCTTTACTGTGGAATCAGCTTAATTTATGTTAAGGAAGCAGATACGGTCTCCACATTCAAGGCCAGGCTTAAAGCACTTTACTTTAATTTAGCATATAATTAGGTCATATATAATATATGGTGTATATATATATATATATGCTGTATTATGTTGTATATTATGTTGTATATTCAGAATCAGAATCAGAATCAGAATCATTTTTATTGCCAACGTAAGTAACGGGAGGTCACAGACTTGGAAATTGCTTTGGCTCAGTGCAACAGTCAAAAAGAGATAATAAAAATAAGAATAAAAAACACTTCTAAAGAATAAATTTAAATTTAAAATAGAGTTACAGTTACTATTTACAATATACAAGTGCACATGGTGCACACAATGTAAGGTGACAGCAGTACAGTGAAGTAAAGTGACGTATGATGGGCAGTAAAGTGACTTTATAAAGGGCGGGGGGACAGGTTAAGAAGTGTTCAAGAGTCCAACAGCAGAGGGGAAGAAACTGTTCTTGTGGCGGGAGGTTCTAGTCCTGATGGACCGCAGCCTCCTGCCTGAGGGGAGTGGTTGGAATAGTCCATGTGCAGGGTGAGAGGGGTCGGCTGTGATACGACCAGCCCGGCCTCGAGCTCGGGCGACGTACAGGTCCTGCAGCGATGGAAGGCTGCGGCCGATCACTTCCTCTGCAGAGCGCACAATGCGCTGTAGTCTCTGTTTGTCCCTGACTGTGGCTCCAGCGAACCACACGGTGATGGAGGAGGTGAGGATGGACTCGATGATGGCCGTGTAGAACTGCACCAACATCTGTGCAGGCAGCTTGGCTTTCCTGAGCTGCCGCAGGAAGTACATCCTCTGCTGGGCCTTCTTGATGAGGGAGCTGATGGTCGGCTCCCACTTGAGGTCCTGGGTGATGGTGGTGCCCAGGAAACGGAAGGACTCCACAGAGGTGATGGGGGAGTCCATCACGGAGGGTGGGGGCGGGGGGACAGTGCTCTTCCTGAAGTCCACAATCATCTCCACTGTCTTCTGGGCGTTCAGCTCCAGGTTGTTACCACTGCACCAGGACACCAGCCGGTCCACCTCCCTCCTGTAGGCGGACTCATCGTTGTTGGAGATAAGTCCAATGAGGGTGGTGTCGTCCGCGAACTTGATCAGCTTCACGGAGTCGTGGCTGGAGGTGCAGTGGTTGGTGTACAGGGAGAAGAGCAGGGGAGAAAGAACACAGCCCTGTGGGGCTCCTGTATTTATAATCCGAGAGTCCGAGACATTCTTCCCCAGACGCACTCGCTGCTTCCTGTCCGTCAGGAAGTCAGTGATCCACCTGCAGGTGGAATCGGGCACGTTGAGCTGGGAGAGCTTGTCCTGGAGCAGGGATGGCAGGATTGTGTTGAAGGCAGAGCTGAAGTCCACGAACAGGACCCTGGCGTAGGTCCCCGGGGAGTCCAGGTGCTGTAGGATGTGGTGGAGGGCCAGGTTAATGGCGTCGTCTACAGATCTGTTGGCTCTGTAGGCGAACTGCAGGGGGTCCAGGAGGGGGGAGGTGAGGGACTTGAGATGGGAGAGAACCAGGCGTTCAAATGACTTCATGACGACAGACGTAAGTGCTACAGGTCTGAAGTCATTGAGTCCTGTGATCCTGGGCTTCTTCGGGACGGGGACAATGATGGAGGATTTGAAGCAGGCCGGGACATGGCAGGACTGCAGAGAGGAGTTGAAAATGTCCGTGAACACAGGAGTAAGTTCACTGGCGCAGTGTCTCAGAGTGGCCGGAGACACGTGGTCCGGGCCAGGAGCTTTGCGGGGGTGCAGCCTCAGGAAGAGTTGTTTAATCTCTTTAGCGGCTATTGTTAGGCTGGGGGCAGGGCTGATGGGTGGGTCGTTAGAGTAGTGGGGGGTGGGGGAGGGAGAGGTGTCAGGGGCAGCATCAAAGCGACTGAAAAATAAGTTCAGATCGTCAGCTAGCTTGTGGTCATCAGCACAGGGGGGGGCTTTGGGTTTGTAGTTGGTGATCTCCCGTAGGCCCCTCCAGACAGAAGCAGTATCGTTGTTACCAAACTGCTCCTGTAGTCGTTCTCTGTGCCGGGACTTGGCTGCTTTCAGTTCTTTCCTGAACTGATATTTAGCTGCTTTGTAGCCGCTGCGGTCCCCCTCCCTGAAAGCAGACTCCTTTGCTTTCCTGAGCTGCCGGAGTTTAGCAGTGAACCAGGGTTTGTCGTTGTTATAGATGACCCTGGTCCTTGTTGGAATGATGCTATCCTCACAGAAGTGGATGTATGACGTCACAGTGTCCGTATATTCATCCAAGCTGTCTGTGGCAGCTCTGAAAAGGTCCCAGTCTGTAGATTCCATGCATGCGCGCAGCTCTTCCACAGCTTCATCAGACCACACTTTGGAGCTCCTCACTGCAGGTTTCGAGAGCTTTAGTCTCTGTCTGTAAGCAGGAACCAGATGTATCATGGAGTGATCTGAGAAGGCGAGGGCTGCTTTGGGAACAGCGTGAAAAGCTCCGCGCACGGTGGTGTAACAGTGATCCAGAGTGTTCTCCTCTCTGGTCGGGCATTTGATAAATTGTCTGTATTTGGGTAATTCCTGGCTCAAGTTTCCCTTATTAAAATCCCCCAGGATAATAATCAGAGAGTCCGGGTATAAGCGTTCCATACACAGTACTTGCTCTGCGAGTGCGCGCTGAGCCTCGCGCGCGTCCGCGCATGGCGGTATGTAAACAGAGGCAAGAATGAATGAAACAATTTCCCGCGGGGAGTAATATGGTTTACAATGAATGAAAAGATATTCCAGAGCAGGAGAGCAGTGCTTGGAGATCACTGTCACATCGTTACACCAGTTTGTATTGACGTAGAAACAGAGCCCTCCGCCTCTGCTCTTCCCTGAGAGCGCACAATGGCGATCCGCGCGAAACAGCCCAAAGCCCTGCAGCTCCAGAGCGCAGTCCGGGATCCGCTCATTTAGCCAGGTCTCAGTGAAGCAGAGGACACAGGATGTGGCGAAGTCCTTGTTTCTTCTCATGAGCAGGCTGAGTTCGTCCATCTTATTGCCCAGTGAGCGTACGTTGGAGAGAAAAATGCCGGGGAGAGCCGTGCGCGCTCCTCTCCTCCTAAGACGCACGAGCAGCCTCCGCGCTTTCCCCTTTTACGGGCCCACACTTTTTTGGCTAGAACATGAACTAAATCAGCCGCAGATGCCAAGAAAACAGGCAATAGGTCCATGGGAACGGTGGGTCGGATGTTCATAAGTTCCTCACGGGTGTAGGAACAGCCAGATGCACAGTTAAAAAGTAAAAACAAAAGAAAAAGAGAGCAGCAAAGAGCCATGTCGACCGTACGAGGCGCCATCTTTTTAATGCTGTATGTTATATATTATTATTATTATGTTATATATTATGCTGTATGTTATGTTGTGTATTATATATGATATATATGATATATAATATATAATTAGGTTTGCTTGGATCGGTTTGGCACACCTGGTGTGCAATCCATGAGTCTTGGTGCTGTAGCCAGGGCTAGCCTAGCCGTGGCTGCTGCTGTCTCGCCTCCTTTCAGATACGCTCTCTTTATTCAAGGCTAGGTTTAAAACAGTCCTCTTTAGTTTAGCATATGGCTAGGAAGGTAAGACTCTGGGAAGGCTAAACTCCTCAGACTGTCAGTCCAGCTGCATAGGGAGCCCCCTGCTGGAGAAGTATGGTAACTTGAGCACTATCCTCTCCTCCTTCCTACTTTATCTGTTTAGCATTTTTAGGATTTTGACTGTAGTTTGTTCATTGCTATTCACCCGTTGTCCCATTGTCTGTTTCATGGTACGATGACGGGATCTCTGAGCCTGGCCTCCTCCATCTACACCTGCGGACTGCCCCGCCTGACCCGCCTGGGAGTGCTTCAGTCCTGCACCGGACCTGTCCACGTTCAGCGGCCACTGGTCCACGTTCTGTAGCTAGCTTAGGTCCTGGATCATTAGTCTGTCCGTCCGGAGGAGCGGATCCCTTTCTCATATGGGTCTCCCTCCCTGTGGGTTTCCCTAGTTCTCCCCAAGGTTTCTCACTTTTTCCCACTGGGTTTTTTAAGAGTTGTTCCTTGTCGATGCAGGAGGGTCTTGTTGGACAGTTAGTGTCCAACAGAAAGGATTGGTGATGATCAGGACACTTTAGCATTCTACAACATGTATGGACAAGGGCGTAGGTTTGCGTGGGGACCATGGGGACATGTCCCCACCAATATTTGGTGAGGACTAAAAAGTCCCCACCAAAATGACATGATGTCCCGTGACCCGGACGGTCCGGGACACATGTGTTCCGTTTGTGCACACGTCGCGCCTCCTCCTCGCCTCCAGAGCAACAGCAGCAGCACGTGACCCGTTCCGTTCTCTGCAGTGATTGGCTGTCTTCTTCAGCGCCAAACTGAAGCACTGAGCGACTGTTTAATTTTTTTAAGTTAGCCAGCGTGAAGCAAGTGTTTTTTTTGTTCCCTGAGCGTTGTAGCACGTGAGTAATCAGAGGAAAGTACTGTAGATCTATTACCATTCAAAGTACTTACGTTATTTCTAATCTGTCAGCGCACTGTTTAATGTTCCGAGGAGCTCACACGGCACAGAGACAGAACAGAACTGGCTCCAATAAAGAAACAGGTGAAAAGCTGAAAAAATACTTATTGTGCTCTTACTATCCAAAATGTATAAGTGGGTGTGTTGTGTGAATCAGGATAAACTAGGGATGAAAATATTCCACGGATCCACGATTCACAACCTTTATCTGCTGATAATGTAATTTCTGTGAAATGTGTGACAGCGGGCACTTGCTGTTATTTGCTCTAAGCACATTCAAGCGATGCACTCGAATGTGCACGTCCTGGTGCAGCTGCTGCCGCTTTGTAATGACAGCCGCGGCGCTCAGTGAAAGCACAGCTCTAACATGGTACCGAGCTCGGACCATATGCAGACAGAACCATGTTGCAAGTGCGGGTCTCCCTCGTATCTCCCCCGTTTCTCCCCTGTGTCTCTGACATGTCTCTCCCCTGACTCTTCCCAAAGCGCGACCAGCGCTCCCGAAATTAAAGCTCGGATACCTAAATTTTCCATTGCGTTAACGATGCATGCTGGTTGTGCGCAAAACACACCACAACAGGTCATTTAAGTTTTTATTTTGCATACTTGAGAGCCCTGTGAGTCATTACTTGCCTTTTTTGGGTTGAGAGTGGAATAAAAAAAGAAAATATAGAAAAATCCACACTGTTACTTATTGCCAAACTCTTGTTAACTCATTGTATTGAGAAATACTATGTAACTTTTGACATTGGCCAAGTTATATAAATGATTCTGCAGTTCATGTATATGAATGTCTGTTTTTGATTGTCTATACCTTCTTATATAATTTAGAAAAAATGCCACCTCCACAAAATAAGATAAAAGATATCAAGAGCTTTTTTAACAGTTGGAAAGTAAGTAAGAGAAAGCACAAGTAATAGCAAATTATGAATTGTGATGATTAATCTTCTGTTAACATACATAGGAAACTCAACCAACAAGAGAGAACAATATAGGGAATGTTGAGGTAGAAGCAACAGGCCCTTCAGTGCATCAGGCGAGGTTGGAATTTTGTAGGTATGCATGGGACTATGAATTGTTTTTAGAGATTGATCGTATATGTCAAACAATGTAGTGAGCTACTCACTGTAGATTCTAATTCAATATTTTCTCCTCTGTTTTTATTACTGCTTCTCATTGAGTCTACAGCTGAGTTTAGTATAGAAGGCAACATACTATTGCAAATATAGTGTGTGATTACACAACAAATTCTGGGGGAGAAACTCTGGACCCCGTGTCAATGGGTGTAGACTCAGGTCGTAGTGAATGTCCCCACCAAGATTGGAACCAAACCTACACCATTGTGTATGGACATTTTCTTCTGTGTGTGCTTTATATTCTTCATGTGTTTTAACTGTTGATTCTCTGACCTGTGTTGGTGATTTCAATGGTTTTGTTAAGTCTCTGAGATGACTTCTGTTGTGACCTAGGGCTATACAAGAATACATTGGATTGTATTGTATTGTATTGTAATAAAGTTGTGACATGTGTTGCTATGGAGACCGGAGCGGGGTGTGTGCTGCATGTTGGGAATCGTCAGCTTGTGTTATACCTTTCGGCCACCAGAGGGAGACAGAGACCGCTGGATTTCAGTCCATTGAAAGTTGTGCTCAGGATAAAGCACTGGTTCAAAGTCTGTGACGTCAAAGCGGCGGCCATCTTGCGACTGTATGGAAAAAACTAAAATCTGAAAATATCTTTGTAAAAATGGTCAGAACATGGAGCTGGAACCAGGTGAGAGTTACTCTAAAGTACAATAGAGACAGATACTAAAAAATATTGAGTATTTCTATAGTTTTAAAATTCATTGTTTCATTTTAAGGAACTCAAATGATCATGGATTCATATTTCAGTATAATGCAGTTTGCCAAAGGTACAGGCAGCTCGAGGCCACAGACTGTAGAGATTGACAATGCTAAATGCTAGCTTAATGAAAACCAATAGGGAAGTGCTCTGGGACAAAGTTTGGCTCATATTGACTTCATGTAAACGTAAACTCCTCTAACTCAGTCGTTTGTGTGACATCACCATTTTGGACTTAAAACTGTGGTTTCATTGCTCTCTTGTTCCTGTGTTTATATGAGATATTGGCTTCTAGCTTAAGTTCAGCTCGACCTGGAGCACCTCAGGATTCCCTCAGATGAGCCGCAGGAAGTGTGGGCGCCTCTGTTCAGACTGCTGCCCCCGTGACCCGGCAACGGATAAAGCAGAAGAAGCTGGATGGATGGGAGTAACTTTATACTTTCATGGCACTAACATCTGGTTCCTGAAGCTGTCGGTGCAGATCCTTTGTCTCTGATGGTGCGTCTCCATGGTTTCAGTTACATAGTTCTTTCTCAGTGACAGCGAACACCATGAAGACGTCACATGGTGTCGTGGCTCAGATCTAGGTCCTGGTGAAAGGAGTTTGTCTCTGGATTCTCACCAACAAAAGAAACAAGGTCATGATGTGCCAAATATCCCTCTCTGAGATCTTTCTCTGGTCTCTCTGGTCTCTCTGGTCTCTCTGGTCTCTCTGGTCTCTCTGGTCTCTCTGGTCTCACTGGTCTCACTGGTCTCTCTGGTCTCACTGGTCTCTCTGGTCTCTCTGGTCTACACGTCTCTAGTCCCTGGCTCTAGAACAGTTTTTTTCTCTCAATTTCCTCCTGTCACTCCTGAGAAAACTGGGGATGGTCAAAGTGATGGTTCTTGAACGCAGATCTAAAAACCTCAAACACAACCGAGTGTTAGAACCAAAGCTGCTGTGTCTGTCTCCCCCTGGTGGCTGCGTGTGGTACTGTTGGGAACAGCTGATGATAATAATAAAGCTGGGGAATGTAACTTTAGAGAGAAGCCAGACAAAGAGACAAAACCAGCGAGAGAGAGACCTGTTTTAAATGAAGACAGAAACTTTGATCTCGTTGACGTCTCTTTAATGTCAGCCACAGACAATGACATTACCGTGACAACGGGTTAAAAACATGTAAATACTGTCACTGGAATGTTTAGGCTCAGCAGCAGCGGAGTCTGAGGACACGTCACCATGGTAACCAGCGTTTAACCGAGTCTGGTCTCTCTCTGGTCTCTTTCTGGTCTCCCTCTGGTCCCTCTATGGTCTCCCTCTCTGGTCTCCCTCTGGTCTCTCTCTGGTCTCCCTCTGGTCTCTCTCTGGTCTCTCTGGTCTCTCTCTGGTCTCTCTCTGGTCTCTCTCTGGTCTCCCTCTGGTTTCCCTCTGGTCTCTTTCTGGTCTCTTTCTGGTCTCCCTCTCTGGTCTCCCTCTGGTGTCTCTCTGGTCTCACTCTCTGGTCTCTCTCTGGTGTCCCTCTGGTCTCTCTCTGGTGTCTCTCTGGTCTCTCTCTGGTCTCTCTCTCTGGTCTCTCTCTGGTCTCTCTCTCTGGTCTCCCTCTGGTCTCTCTCTGGTCTCTCTCTGGTCTCTCTCTGGTCTCTCTCTGGTCTCTCTCTGGTTTCCCTCTGGTCTCTGGTCTCTCTCTGGTCTCTTTCTGGTTTCCCTCTGGTCTCTTTCTGGTCTCTCTCTGGTCTCTCTCTGGTCTCTCTCTCTGGTCTCCCTCTGGTCTCTCTCTCTGGTCTCTCTCTCTGGTCTCTCTCTCTGGTCTCTCTCTGGTCTCTCTCTCTGGTCTCTCTCTCTGGTCTCTCTCTGGTCTCTCTCTCTGGTCTCCCTCTGGTCTCTCTCTCTGGTCTCTCTCTGGTCTCTCTCTCTCTGGTCTCTCTCTGGTCTCTCTCTCTCTGGTCTCTCTCTGGTCTCTCTCTGGTCTCTCTCTCTGGTCTCCCTCTGGTCTCTCTCTCTGGTCTCTCTCTCTGGTCTCTCTCTGGTCTCTCTCTGGTCTCTCTCTGGTCTCTCTCTGGTCTCTCTCTGGTGTCTCTCTCTGGTCTCTCTCTGGTCTCTCTCTCTGGTCTCTCTCTGGTCTCTCTCTCTGGTCTCTCTCTGGTCTCTCTCTCTGGTCTCCCTCTGGTCTCTCTCTCTGGTCTCTCTCTCTGGTCTCTCTCTGGTCTCTCTCTGGTCTCTCTCTGGTCTCTCTCTGGTCTCTCTCTGGTGTCTCTCTCTGGTCTCTCTCTGGTCTCTCTCTCTGGTCTCTCTCTGGTCTCTCTCTCTGGTCTCTCTCTGGTCTCTCTCTCTGGTCTCTCTCTGGTCTCTCTCTGGTCTCTCTCTCTGGTCTCTCTCTCTGGTCTCTCTCTGGTCTCTCTCTGGTCTCTCTCTGGTCTCTCTCTGGTCTCTCTCTCTGGTCTCTCTCTCTGGTCTCTCTCTGGTCTCTCTCTCTGGTCTCTCTCTGGTCTCTCTCTGGTCTCTCTCTCTGGTCTCTCTCTCTGGTCTCTCTCTGGTCTCTCTCTCTGGTCTCTCTCTCTGGTCTCTCTCTGGTCTCTCTCTGGTCTCTCTGGTCTCTCTGGTCTCTCTCTCTGGTCTCTCTCTGGTCTCGCTCTCTGGTCTCTCTCTCTGGTCTCTCTGGTCGCTCTCTGGTCTCTCTCTCCCTGGTCTCTCTGGTCGCTCTCTGGTCTCTCTCTCTCTCTCTGGTCTCTCTCTGGTCTCTCTCTGGTCTCTCTCTCTGGTCTCTCTCTCTGGTCTCTCTCTCTGGTCTCTCTCTCTGGTCTCTCTCTCTCTGGTCTCTCTCTCTCTGGTCTCTCTCTCTCTGGTCTCTCTCTCTGGTCTCTCTCTCTGGTCTCTCTCTCTGGTCTCTCTCTCTCTGGTCTCTCTCTCTGGTCTCTCTCTCTGGTCTCTCTCTGGTCTCTCTCTGGTCTCTCTCTCTGGTCTCTCTCTCTGGTCTCTCTCTCTGGTCTCTCTCTCTGGTCTCTCTCTGGTCTCTCTCTGGTCTCTCTCTGGTCTCTCTCTGGTCTCTCTCTGATCTCTCTCTGGTCTCTCTCTGGTCTCTCTCTGGTCTCTCTCTGGTCTCTCTCTGGTCTCTCTCTGGTCTCAAAAACAGAAAATGTAAAATCAATATTTTATTGTTTAATAAAAAGTCAGTTTAAAAAAAGCGTGACTTTAATCAAAGAAAAGATTGATAATGGTCAGACCCGACAGAAGACCACAGCCTAAAGGTACGAGCCCTGGGAGTCACTTTCTGAGCCTTTGGGCCGTTAGTCTAAAGAGAACTGTGACAGTAGCTTTAAAGCTCAGGGATGTAACTTTCACACCACAACAATAGAACACTCAGACACAAAGGAGCCCGAACAGTCAAATAGTGACTCACAGGGACCTGCTCTGGTCCAGCTCTCGGCACAGTCCGACACAGACATCTTTAAAAACCTCAAACCTGTGATTCAAGTCTCTCTGGGCGTGGAGTTTAAACGTGCTTCCCAGGGCGCCGTCTGCCGCCGCCGTGCCGTAGAAGACCCTGCGTACCCTGGAGTGGAGCAGCGCCATGGCGCAGAGCACACAGGGCTCTCTGGTCACGTACAGGTCGTACCCGGTACAAAGGTACGGCTGCACTGCCGACCAATGAGAGGCCGAGAAGCCACACCCTGAGAACTCCTCGTAACCATAGCGACCGCCGCCTTGACTCTTGGCCACCAGGTCGATGCAGACCATGGCGGCGTGATGAAGAGGGTGCTTCCTGCGGCAGTCGTGAGCCGTGGCGATGACTTGCTCCGAGTCTGGGTCCACCATGACGGCTCCGATGGCGTCCAGTCCCAGCTTCTGCCCGTCTTTCGCCGCCTCAACGGCGAGCGACATGTATCTGTGCATTTTCTCCTTCTGCCCCGCGGGGAACAGCTCGCCTCTCAGCGCGGCGGACGCCATCTTGTCCTCGTGGAAAGACGTGGGCCAGTGAGCGCTCGCCGTGTCGAACTGAGGCCGAGTGAGCGGCGCCGTGCTGGGGACCGTGACCACGAAGAGATCGCCGAGTCCCAGACGAGAATAGTCGTAGTCAGAGGGTTCGTGGAGCGGTCGCACCAGAACCTCCAGAGCGTGGGCCGAGCCCGCTCCGGTCCGTCGCACTCTCTTCAGGTGAGCCAGGCCTCTGAGCGGGTGCATCTGCCTCAGCTCCTGCACCGCTCTGGACGTCTGCCGATGGTCCAGGACCGGCGCCGCCAAGGCCTGGACCAGCTCCACGTCAGTACACAGCTGGTCCGACAGGACAGCCACAGGATCCCACGAGTCCAGGTCCAGGTCCGAGGTCTTCAGGCGCTTCCTCTGAGGCTCCATCCCCCTGGAGTCACCTGCAGGAAGACGTTTCCACAGATGACGCTCACACGAGAGAGAGAGAGAGAGAGAGAGAGAGAGATAGAGAGAGAGAGAGAGAGAGATAGAGAGATAGAGAGAGAGATAGAGAGAGAGATAGAGAGATAGAGAGAGAGAGCGATAGAGAGAGAGAGCGATAGAGAGAGAGAGCGATAGAGAGAGAGAGCGAGAGAGAGAGATAGAGAGAGATAGAGAGAGAGCGATAGAGAGAGAGAGCGATAGAGAGAGAGAGCGATAGAGAGAGAGAGCGATAGAGAGAGAGAGCGATAGAGAGAGAGAGCGATAGAGAGATAGAGAGATAGAGAGAGAGAGAGAGAGATAGAGAGAGTTTCCACACCTGACGCTCACATGAGAGAGAGAGATATGATGTAAATGTTGATATTTATTGACACTTGTAAATATAAAAGATTGTTTTCTACATTTGGCAAAAGAATCACTTCCTGTTCTTCAAACACCTTTGACACGTGACTAAATGTCTACAGCAGTCAGAGTGAGCCCTGCCCTCTAGTGGAAGGAGGGAGACATTACAGATGTATTTCATTATTGTTACTGCATCAGCTGAAGGGTGTCCAAACTTTTAAGGACTCTTCAGAGGCAGGACACACTTACAGTGCTGAAGTTGGCTGAATAAGTCAGTAATGTTTGTAAAGACCACAGTCAGTGCTTTACTGTCGTTTACACCTGTCTCACACAGAGATGGAGCCTACAGGGGGCGCTGACAGACCTATTGTACAGGTTCTCTGATCCCTGCGGCTTATGGTGCGGCTTATGGTGCGGCTCATGGTGCGGCTTATGGTGCGGCTCATAGTCCAGAAAGTACAGGACATGGTTTTGTGACTCAAAATAAATCAAAGTCAACAGCAGAAGATACAACAGGCTTCTATTGGCAGAGCTGAAGTTGGCTGGATGACACTGATCAAATACTACAGTAGACAGAGCAGAACATCTTCAGGCCCAGGAGAAAGGAACGTGATGTGGTTTAAAGCTGAGGGACCTGACTTTCTCCATAGTTAGCACATGTTTATCTCCACAGAGTCTAATGACAGTCTCCGTCCTGTCAGAAAACATGTTCATTCTTATGTGCGAAAGACCAGAGAGGACCAGAGAGGACCAGAGAGGACCAGAGAGGACCAGAGAGAGACCAGAGAGGACCAGAGAGGACCAGAGAGAGACCAGAGAGAGACCAGAGAGAGAGACCAGAGAGAGAGACCAGAGAGAGAGACCAGAGAGAGAGACCAGAGAGAGACAGAGAGAGACCAGAGAGAGACCAGAGAGAGACCAGAGATAGACCAGAGAGATAGACCAGAGATAGACCAGAGATAGACCAGAGATAGACCAGAGACAGACCAGAGAGGACTAGAGAGGAGCAAACGTTGAGAGCTTTGATGACTTTCCTCCTCCTTCCTGGTCTGAAAGTCACGTCCCCGAGCTTTAAACTCGGCTCCAAACAAAGGAATGTGACGGTGTCACTTTCGTCCCAGGACCAGTTTGTTCTTCATCACTTTGGGCACGTGTCGAACAGTGAGTGACACTCGGGTCCCTCGGCTCAGACTGGCGCCGGGTTTCCCTCCGGCTTGCACCAGGTTCTTCACCGTGTCCGTCAGCGTGTCGTCGTGGCGCCCACGGATGCCGTGCAGCAGGCGGCGGTACATGTCCTGCTGCAGGATCAGGAGGCTCCGGGGCCTCAGCAGCAGCGACAGCACAAAGCGGCTCTCCTGGCTCTGAGCCGCGGCCCCCGGAACCAGCGGCTCGTAGAAGTCCAGCAGAGCGTGCGAGCCCAGGGAGATGGTGGTCACCGTGGGATGGTACAGCGGGCCGTCCTCGTGGGGCATGATCCCCTCCCCGGGGTTGTACTCGTTGACCAGGACGTGGTTGGCACACTTCCCGCTGAACGCTCCGAGGGAGGAGATGTTGTGGCAGTAGGTCTGGAGCCATTCCGGCATCTTCTCGGCCATCATTCCCTTCGGATGAGGGAGGCCGCCCCAGTTCTGCAGGCGGCGGCCGGAGAGCTGCGTCCACTTGGTCTTGGGGGCTTGGTAAACCTGTCGGAGCAGGATCGACTCCTCCTCCTCCGTTATGAAGTCCGGGAGGTAATAGACAAGCGGCGGCGCGGAGGCTACGAGAAACTTCTGGAAGTCTTCGGGAAAGTGAGACGGGAAAGCAGCCATGACGCCGCTGGGGAGACAAAAGGCTTCACTAGAGACCAGCACAGACTGTACAGATGGACAATGCTAACACGCTAACGCAGTGGAGCCCAGGGAAGGGCTCATGGACAAAGTTTTGGTCCAACTCTCTCTGACTTCCGTATATCAGTAACGTCTGTGGTTTATCTCTCTCTGATCCTGCTGTTTATGTGATGTCTTTGTAAGTCTAGATTTAAGCCCTAACAACAACCGACCAATCAGGACTCACCTGCTGCTCCGGCGTTTTTACCGAACATCAAATTGAAATCCGACTAAACGTTTTCTTTCATCTCTAGTTTTCACGTCATGCACCTCTGACCTCTGTCACATCTTTGGATCACATTCTTCTGACAGATACAGGAAACAGGATCACAGCCAATCAGCGCTCAGCCCAAAGAGTCAGATAGTGACTCCCAGGGCTCTGCTCTCAGACTGTACACCATAATAAACTGAAGACAGCTTAGGGTTAGGGTCAGACAATATGAATATTACAACAGCCTGCGGTCTCAGACGAATTCAAAATCAACCACGTCATCACTCACTCTAAATAACACATCTTCACACGGATGACGTCACTGTATCAACGTCACCATCAGCAGGTAAGATAATGGAGACTTCTGAATCTCTGGGACACACGTGTGGAGATAATGGAGACTTCTGAATCTCTGGGACACACGTGTGGAGATAATGGAGACTTCTGAATCTCTGGGACACACGTGTGGAGATAATGGAGACTTCTGAATCTCTGGGACACACGTGTGGAGATAATGGAGACTTCTGAATCTCTGGGACACACGTGTGGAGATAATGGAGACTTCTGAATCTCTGGGACACACGTGTGGAGATAATGGAGACTTCTGAATCTCTGGGACACACGTGTGGAGATAATGGAGACTTCTGAATCTCTGGGACACACGTGTGGAGATAATGGAGACTTCTGAATCTCTGGGACACACGTGTGGAGATAATGGAGACTTCTGAATCTCTGGGACACACGTGTGAGGCGGAACCACAGAAAGCGTTATAAGAAGGAAACACCTTCAGGCACACAGAGAGGGAACAAGACACAACACGTGATTTACCTAAAGCTCTTTCGCTGTTAACTCAGAAACTAAATCCAAAAAGCAGATCTTCCGCCCGCACAGCCCGCACCGCCTCCATGTTTGTGTCGCAGCATAATCCGTCCGTGTAAAAATAATCACGTCTTTAACTTCCATGGACAGAAATGTGAGTTTAGTATCTGCCAGATAAACGACGACTTCTATTTAATTCATGATACGATTAAAAGAGTGAGGCACGTTTCAGAATTGTGTAGAAGTAAGAGCGGAACTAACATGTAACAACAGTTTCATGGTCGGGTTTATTTTTATGTGACACTTCGAGCACGTTCTGATCGTTTGTGAAGAGAAAACAGATGATTATTATCCTTTAATATGATCAACAGTGTTAAGGGATGTGTATGTTCCTCATGTTGCGCATGCGCAGTGGGAACAGCGTTAGCATTAGCTACAGGCGCTAGCCCCCTCGACCTTTCCGGTCCACGGGATGTTGCGGACTGCTGTGCCTCGGCTCGGGTGGCTCTCTGGCGGCTGTGCTCGCAGACAGAGCCGGTCTGGAGTCTCGGCTCTGGTTCTGGGGATCGAGACGAGCTGTGATGAGACCGGGGCGGCGGTTATGGACGCGGACGGCAGGGTCCTGGGGGAATCTCTGCACTCACAGAAAGACGTGCATCTCAGGTAACAAAGTGTCATTGTCAAGATTATACTTTTTATAATCTCTCAGTAATCCCTGGGCCAATCCACACCAAACAAAACTATCACAAACTATAATATCTATATCTATCTTAGATCTTACATTTAAACATAATGTTGCTCTGATGTCCCACTCTCCTCCTGGTCTGTCCCGGTCTGTCCCGGTCTGTCCCGGTCTGTCCCACTCTCCTCCTGGTCTGTCCCGGTCTGTCCCGGTCTGTCCCACTCTCCTCCTGGTCTGTCCCGGTCTGTCCTGGTCTGTCCTGGTCTGTCCTGGTCTGTCCTGGTCTGTCCTGGTCTGTCCTGGTCTGTCCTGGTCTGTCCTGGTCTGTCCTGGTCTGTCCTGGTCTGTCCTGGTCTGTCCCGGTCTGTCCTGGTCTGTCCCGGTCTGTCCCACTCTCCTCCTGGTCTGTCCCGGTCTGTCCCGGTCTGTCCCACTCTCCTCCTGGTCTGTCCCGGTCTGTCCTGGTCTGTCCTGGTCTGTCCTGGTCTGTCCCGGTCTGTCCCGGTCTGTCCCACTCTCCTCCTGGTCTGTCCCGGTCTGTCCTGGTCTGTCCTGGTCTGTCCTGGTCTGTCCTGGTCTGTCCTGGTCTGTCCTGGTCTGTCCTGGTCTGTCCTGGTCTGTCCTGGTCTGTCCCGGTCTGTCCTGGTCTGTCCCGGTCTGTCCCACTCTCCTCCTGGTCTGTCCTGGTCTGTCCTGGTCTGTCCTGGTCTGTCCTGGTCCAGGAGCGGGGGTATCATCCCCGCGGTGGCGCAGCAGTTGCACCGGCTGCACGTGGAGCGTGTGGTGAGCGAGGCCCTGGGTGTGAGCGGAGTGTCCCCGCAGCAGCTGTCTGCCGTGGCCTCCACCGTGAGGCCCGGTCTGGCCCTGAGTCTGGGGGTCGGTCTAGACTTCAGCCGGAGGTTCGTCAGGCTGCACCGGACGCCCTTCATCCCCGTCCACCACATGGAGGTAGCAAACTATCACACTGGATTAAAGCTGGGCTACGGAACTTTCTGTGTGTGTGCGTGTGTGTGTCTGTGTGTGCGTGTGTGTGTGCGTCTGTGTGTCTGTGTGTGTGTCTGTGTGTGTGTCTGTGTGTGTGCGTGTGTGTGCGTGTGTGTCTGGTGTGTGTGTGTGTGTGTGTGTGTGCGTGTGTAGGCCCACGCTCTGACCGTGAGGATGCTGGACCATGTGGACTTCCCCTTCCTGGTTCTGCTGATCTCTGGAGGTCACGCTCTGTTGGCGGTTGCCAGAGCCGTGGACGACTTTCTGCTTCTGGGTCAGACCCTGGACGAGGCGCCCGGAGACACACTGGACAAGGTCAGGACGGGACAGAGACAGGACATCTGTTAGAGGTCACAGGGTGAGGTCACAGGGTGAGGTCACAGGGTGAGGTCACAGGGTGAGGTCACAGGGTGAGGTCACAGGGTGAGGTCACAGGGTGAGGTCACAGGGTGAGGTCACAGAGTGAGGTCACAGGGTGAGGTCACAGGGTGAGGTCACAGGGTGAGGTCACAGGGTGAGGTCACAGAGTGAGGTCACAGAGTGAGGTCACAGGGTGAGGTCACAGGGTGAGGTCACAGGGTGAGGTCACAGGGTGAGGTCACAGGGTGAGGTCACAGGGTGAGGTCACAGAGTGACTCTGATTGGTTGTAGGTCGCACGGCGCCTGTCTCTGCTGCAGCACCCTCTGTGCTCCCTCAGCGGGGGACAGGTCCTCAGCGGGGGACAGGCCCTCGAGGTCCTGGCTCGGACCGGGGACAGGACCAGGTTCCGCTTCAGGACCCCCATGGGACAATCCCTCGACTGTAACTTCTCCTTCGCTGGTTTCAGGAACCAGGTGAACATGACCATCAAGAAGCAAGAGCTGGAGGAGGGTGAGACACAGACACAGACAGATACAGAGACACAGAGAGACAGACAGATACACAGAGAGACAGACAGAGACACAGAGAGACAGACAGAGACACAGACAGAGACACAGAGAGACACAGACAGAGACACAGAGAGACAGACAGAGACAGACAGAGACACAGACAGATACACAGAGAGACAGACAGAGACACAGAGAGACAGACAGAGACACAGACAGAGACACAGACAGACAGACAGACAGAGACACAGAGAGACAGACAGAGACAGACAGAGACACAGACAGATACACAGAGAGACAGACAGATACACAGAGAGACAGACAGATACACAGAGAGACAGACAGATACACAGAGAGACAGACAGATACACAGACACAGAGAGACAGACAGAGACACAGAGAGACAGACAGATACACAGAGACACAGACAGAGACACAGAGAGACAGACAGACAGAGACACAGAGAGACACAGAGAGACAGACAGAGACACAGAGAGACAGACAGAGACACAGAGAGACAGACAGAGACACAGAGAGACAGACAGAGACACAGAGAGACACAGAGAGACAGACAGAGACACAGAGAGACAGACAGAGACACAGAGAGACAGACAGAGACACAGAGAGACAGACAGAGACACAGAGAGACAGACAGAGACACAGAGAGACAGACAGAGACACAGAGAGACAGACAGAGACACAGAGAGACAGACAGAGACACAGAGAGACAGACAGAGACACAGAGAGACAGACAGAGACACAGAGAGACAGACAGAGAGACAGACAGAGACACAGAGAGACAGACAGAGACACAGAGAGACAGACCGAGACACAGATACACAGACCGAGACACAGATACACAGAGACAGACAGAGACACAGATACACAGAGACAGACAGAGACACAGAGAGACAGAGACACAGAGAGACAGACAGAGACACAGAGAGACAGACAGATACACAGAGAGACAGACCGAGACACAGATACACAGAGACAGACAGAGACACAGAGAGACAGAGACACAGAGAGACAGACAGAGACACAGAGAGACAGACAGATACACAGAGACAGACAGAGACACAGATACACAGAGACACAGATACACAGAGACACAGAGAGAGAGAGACAGACAGAGACAGAGACTCAGACACAGAGACGGAGATTAAAACAGATAAATATCGAATCATTTAATTCAACATCAATACTTTTCTCATTTGTATCGTTTTAATTGTGATGTTGAAGAAAATGTTTTCCACAGTGAGACGTCTGTGCTGGTTCATACTGACATGTTGTGTCATGGGGGTTGTGTGGTTGTGTTGCTGGTTGTGTGGTTGTGTTGCTGGTTGTGTGGTTGTGTGCAGGTGTGGGTCCCGGCGCGCTGCTGTCATGTGTGTGTGACGTGGCGGCCGCGGTGCAGCACACGGTGGCAGCACATCTGTCCAAACGCACTCACCGCGCTGTGCTCTTCTGCAAACTGCACCGTCTGCTGCCGGACCATAACCCTGCACTGGTGCGGGCTTCACACACACCAGCAATCACTCCATCTGGTCTCTCTGGTCTCTCTCTCTGGTCTCTCTGGTCTCTCTCTCTGGTCTCTCTCTCTGGTCTCTCTCTCTGGTCTCTCTCTCTGGTCTCTCTGGTCTCTCTCTCTGGTCTCTCTCTCTGGTCTCTCTCTCTGGTCTCTCTCTCTGGTCTCTCTCTCTGGTCTCTCTCTCTGGTCTCTCTCTCTGGTCTCTCTCTCTGGTCTCTCTGGTCTCTCTCTCTGGTCTCTCTCTCTGGTCTCTCTCTCTGGTCTCTCTCTGGTCTCTCTCTCTGGTCTCGCTCTGGTCTCTCTCTGGTCTCTCTGGTCTCTCTCTCTGGTCTCTCTCTCTCTCTCTCTGGTCTCTCTCTGTTCTCTCTCTGGTCTCTCTCTCTGGTCTCTCTCTCTGGTCTCTCTCTGTTCTCTCTCTGGTCTCTCTCTCTGGTCTCTCTCTCTGGTCTCGCTCTGGTCTCTCTCTAGTCTCTCTCTGGTATATCTCTCTGGTCTCTCTCTGGTCTCTCTCTGGTCTCTCTCTCTGGTCTCTGTCTCTGGTCTCTCTCTGGTCTCTCTCTGGTCTCTCTCTCTGGTCTCTCTCTGGTCTCTCTCTGGTCTCTCTCTCTGGTCTCTCTCTAGTCTCTCTCTGGTCTCTCTCTCTGGTCTCTCTCTGGTCTCTCTCTCTAGTCTCTCCCTGGTCTCTCTCTCTGGTCTCTCTCTGGTCTCTCTCTCTGGTCTCTCTCTCTGGTCGCTCTCTCTGGTCTGGTCTCTCTCTCTCTGGTCTCTCTCTCTGGTCTCTCTCTGGTCTCTCTCTCTGGTCTCTCTCTGGTCTCTCTCTGGTCTCTCTCTCTGGTCTCTCTCTGGTCTCTCTCTGGTCTCTCTCTGGTCTCTCTCTGGTCTCTCTCTCTGGTCTCTCTCTGGTCTCTCTCTCTGGTCTCTCTCTCTCTGGTCTCTCTCTGGTCTCTCTCTCTGGTCTCTCTCTCTGGTCTCTCTCTCTGGTCTCTCTCTGGTCTCTCTCTCTGGTCTCTCTCTCTGGTCTCTCTCTCTCTGGTCTCTCTCTCTCTTGTCTCTCTCTCTGGTCTCTCTCTCTGGTCTCTCTCTGGTCTCTCTCTGGTCTCTCTCTGGTCTCTCTCTGGTCTCTCTCTGGTCTCTCTCTGGTCTCTCTCTGGTCTCTCTCTGGTCTCTCTCTCTGGTCTCTCTCTCTGGTCTCTCTCTCTGGTCTCTCTCTCTGGTCTCTCTCTGGTCTCTCTCTGGTCTCTCTCTCTGGTCTCTCTCTGGTCTCTCTCTGGTCTCTCTCTCTGGTCTCTCTCTGGTCTCTCTCTGGTCTCTCTCTCTGGTCTCTCTCTGGTCTCTCTCTGGTCTCTCTCTGGTCTCTCTCTCTGGTCTCTCTCTCTGGTCTCTCTCTGGTCTCTCTCTCTGGTCTCTCTCTCTGGTCTCTCTCTCTGGTCTCTCTCTCTGGTCTCTCTCTGGTCTCTCTCTCTGGTCTCTCTCTGGTCTCTCTCTCTGGTCTCTCTCTGGTCTCTCTCTGGTCTCTCTCTCTGGTCTCTCTCTCTGGTCTCTCTCTCTGGTCTCTCTCTGGTCTCTCTCTCTGGTCTCTCTCTCTGGTCTCTCTCTCTGGTCTCTCTCTGGTCTCTCTCTCTGGTCTCTCTCTGGTCTCTCTCTCTGGTCTCTCTCTCTGGTCTCTCTCTCTGGTCTCTCTCTCTGGTCTCTCTCTCTGGTCTCTCTCTCTGGTCTCTCTCTCTGGTCTCTCTCTCTGGTCTCTCTCTCTGGTCTCTCTCTCTGGTCTCTCTCTGGTCTCTCTCTGGTCTCTCTCTCTGGTCTCTCTCTGGTCTCTCTCTCTCTCTCTGGTCTCTCTCTCTGGTCTCTCTCTCTGGTCTCTCTCTCTGGTCTCTCTCTCTGGTCTCTCTCTCTGGTCTCTCTCTCTGGTCTCTCTCTCTGGTCTCTCTCTCTGGTCTCTCTCTCTGGTCTCTCTCTCTGGTCTCTCTCTGGTCTCTCTCTCTGGTCTCTCTCTCTGGTCTCTCTCTCTGGTCTCTCTCTCTGGTCTCTCTCTGGTCTCTCTCTGGTCTCTCTCTGGTCTCTCTCTCTGGTCTCTCTCTCTGGTCTCTCTCTGGTCTCTCTCTCTGGTCTCTCTCTGGTCTCTCTCTGGTCTCTCTCTCTCTGGTCTCTCTCTCTGGTCTCTCTCTCTGTCTCTCTCTCTCTCTCTGGTCTCTCTCTCTGGTCTCTCTCTCTGGTCTCTCTCTGGTCTCTCTCTCTGGTCTCTCTCTCTGGTCTCTCTCTCTGGTCTCTCTCTGGTCTCTCTCTGGTCTCTCTCTGGTCTCTCTCTGGTCTCTCTCTGGTCTCTCTCTCTGGTCTCTCTCTCTGGTCTCTCTCTGGTCCCTCTCTCTGGTCTCTCTCTCTGGTCTCTCTCTGGTCTCTCTGGTCTCTCTCTGGTCTCTCTCTCTCTCTCTCTCTCTGGTCTCTCTCTCTCTGGTCTCTCTCTCTGGTCTCTCTCTCTGGTCTCTCTCCATTATGGCCACTGCTCCTGGTACAAAGAAACCTTTTACTGGTTTCTTCTGTAAAACCATCAACAGGACGCTATAGTTGACACAGACATTGCTTCATGTTGTTGCTAATGTATAAATGTGTGTCTGAAATGTCAGCTCAGGGTGGATCCAAAGCCCAGATGTTTAAGACTTCAAAGTTTGTTACTGTGGACAATGGTGTTTGTAAGAAAACACAGATTTAGGTCCAACTGGAAAAGTCGCTTTAGTTGTGGTTTAGTTTGGGCATTTTAGCAAATACACACTTGATAAACGCTGGTTATAACTTCCTTGTATGTGCACACACACATCCATGACACACACACACACACACACACACACACATCACACACACACACATGACACACACACACACACACACACACATCCATGACACACACACACACACACATCCATGACACACACACACACACACACACATCCATGACACACACACACACACACACATGACACACACACACACACACACACACACACACACATCCATGACACACACCACACACGCACACTGGCTCCCCTCCCTCCCTCACCCTCCCCCCCTCCCCTCCCTCCCTCTCTCCCTCTCTCCTCTCTCCTCCCTCCCTCCTCCCTCTCCCCTCTCCCTCCCCTCTCCCTCCCCCTCCCTCTCCCTCCCTCCCTCCCTCTCTCCCTCCCTCCCTCTCCCTCCCTCTCTCCTCCCTCCCTCTCTCCCTCCCTCCCTCCCTCTCTCTCCCTCCCTCCCTCCCCCTCCCTCCCTCTCTCCCTCCCTCCCTCCTCTCCCTCCCTCCCTCCTCCCTCCCTCTCTCTCCTCTCCCTCTCCCTCCCTCCTCCCTCCCTCCCTCCTCTCTCTCTCCCTCCTCTCCCTCCCTCCTCTCTCCCTCCCTCCCTCCCTCCCTCCCTCCCTCCCTCCCTCCCCTCCCTCCTCCCTCCCCTCCCCTCTCTCCCTCTCCCTCTCCCTCCCTCCTCCCTCCCCCTCCCTCTCCCTCCCCCTCCTACCCCCCCCCTCTCTCTCTCCCTCCCTCCCTCCCCTCCCTCCCCTCCCTCCCTCCCTCCTCCTCTCTCTCTCATAAGGTTGTTTCCGTGTCAGTGAGAGCAGCAGCAGCCATGGCGCAGACAGAGTTGTTCCTGTGTCCTGTGTGTTTGGATTTACTGCAGACTCCTGTGACTCTGAACTGTGGACACAACTACTGCCTGAAGTGTGTCCAGGACCACTGGGACACGGAGGAGGAGCAGCGGCTCTACACCTGTCCCGAGTGTCGTGTGAGCTTCACCCCCAGGCCTGTGCTGAGTAAGAACCTCCTGTTAGCAGCTGTAGTGGAGCAGAGGAGCACAGCGCCCCCTGCTGTCCTCTGTGCTGGGCCTGCAGCGCCCCCTGCTGACCCTCAGGACCTCTGTGGGCCTCAGGACGTCTCCTGTGATGTCTGCTCTGGGGTAAAGCTGAAGGCGGTCCAGTCCTGTCTACAGTGTGTGGCCTCCTTCTGTGAGCGCCACCTACAGCCTCATTATGACTCTGCAGTGCTTCAAAGACACCAGCTGGTGGCGCCATCGCACACTCTGCAGGAAAACAGCTGCTCTGAGCACAACCAGGTGAAGACCATGTTCTGTCGCACTGACGGACAGCTCCTGTGTCTGGTCTGCTGCCTGGACCAGCACAAGGACCATGACACTGTGTCCTCAGCCTCAGAGAGGGCCTTGAGGGAGGCCCAGCTGGAGGCCCAGAGGGACCTGCTCCTCCAGAACCTCCAGCACAAAGACACAGAGAGGACCTCCCTCCAACAGCAGGAGCAGGACCTCAGGACCTCTGCCCACACAGCACTGCAGCTCAGCAGGGACAGCTTCAGAGACATCATCCTTCTCCTGGAGACAAGAGCCAAAGAAGTGGAGCAGCAGATCCAGTCCGAGCTGGAGAGAGGACTGAGCCGAGTCCGAGAGATCCAAGACCGAGTGAAGCAGGAGCTGAGTGAGCTGCAGCAGCGCCTCTGTGACCTGGACACACTGTCCCTCACCAAAGACCACAACAGCTTTATACAGCTCCACACTGCACTGACCAGGGGCCTCACAGAGGGGCCAGACCCAGTCAGGGGCCTCACAGAGGGGCCAGTCCCAGCCAGGGGCCTCACAGAGACCAGGAGCCCCTTTGAGGAGGTGAGCAGAGCTGTGTCCGAGCTCAGGGAGAGACTGCAGCTCACTGTGGAGGAGGGACACAGCAACATCTCTCTGGCTCTGAGTCCAGTTCATCTTTTAACCACAGAACCACAGACCAGAGACCAGTTCTTACAATACTCTACAGACTTCACTCTGGACACAAACACAGTGAACACAGGTCTGTCTCTGTCTGATGGAAACAGAAGAGTGACATTTATGAGTGAACATCAGGAGTATCCAGATCATCAGGACAGATTCAGTGGGTGGGATCAGGTCCTGAGCAGAGAGAGTGTGAGCGGTCGCTGTTACTGGGAGGTGGAGTGGAGCTCAGAGGATGGTGTTTTTATCGCAGTTTCATACAGAGATATTCAGAGGAAAGGAGACCCTGTTGAATGTAGATTTGGAAACAATGATAAATCCTGGGCCTTATACTGTGACAAAACCAGTCCTTCATTCTGGTTTAACTCAGTGAAGTCCGAAGTCTCAGGTCCGGTCGGGTCCAGAGTCGGGGTTTTCCTGGACCACAGTGCAGGGGTTTTGTCCTTTTACGACGTCTCAGAAAACATGAGGCTGATCCACAGAGAAGAGACCACCTTCTCTCAGCCGCTTCTCGCTGGAGTCAGGTTTTACTGTCGTCATGGAGACACTGCACATTTCCCTAAACTCAAATAACAGTTTGTTCTCCACAGTTTTACATCAAATTTGTGCCTTTGCTAAAAATCCTTCATGATTCAGTTTAATTCATTTGTGTAAAGCCCTAAATCACTGCAGCAGTCGCCTCGGAGGACTTTACAAAGTTGTTGATTTGCCAACAACAGATCAGAGAATCAGAACAGTTTGAAAATGGGAAATGTCAAAATAGACCCAGGACTGAGGCTGTAGACCCAGGACTGAGACTGTAGACCCAGGACTGAGGCTGTAGACCCAGGACTGAGACTGTAGACCCAGGACTGAGACTGTAGACCCAGGACTGAGGCTGTAGACCCAGGACTGAGCTGTAGACCCAGGACTGAGACTGTAGACCCAGGACTGAGAGGCTGTAGACCCAGGACTGAGGCTGTAGACCCAGGACTGAAGCTTTAGACCCAGGACTGAGACTGTAGACCCAGGACTGAGGCTGTAGACCCAGGACTGAGACTGTAGACCCAGGACTGAGGCTGTAGACCCAGGACTGAGACTGTAGACCCAGGACTGAGGCTGTAGATCCAGGACTGAGACTGTAGACCCAGGACTGAGACTGTAGACCCAGGACCGAGGCTGTAGACCCAGGACCGAGGCTGTAGACCCAGGACCCTGTAGACCCAGGACTGAGACTGTAGACCCAGGACTGAGGCTGTAGACCCAGGACTGAGACTGTAGACCCAGGACTGAGACTGTAGACCCAGGACTAGGGCTGTAGACCCAGGACTGAGACTGTAGACCCAGGACCGAGACTGTAGACCCAGGACCGAGACATTAGACCCAGGACTGAGGCTGTAGACCCAGGAATGAGAACGTAGACCCAGGCCTAAGTTTTTAGACCCAGGACTGAGACTGTAGACCCAGAACCAAGACTGTAGACCCAGGACCGAGACTGTAGACCCAGGACTGAGGCTGTAGACCCAGGACTGAGGCTGTAGACCCAGGACTGAGGCTGTAGACCCAGGACTGAGGCTGTAGACCCAGGACTGAGGCCATAATGACGATAGATAAAGCAGGAGAGAGCAGAGGACAGTGCTGTTACCACTCTCCTCCAGCAGGGGGCTCCAAATGCAGTGTGTTTTGCCCTAAAGTAGTATTTCTAAGTCTTTCCTACGATATGCCATATGCTGAACGATGCTTTCTTCCCAGACCCATGTGGGCCTAAGTGTGTCAGATTTGAAACGGTTTAGTCGATCTCTCCTATATTCTATTGTTGTTCCTGGTGTGATGTCACGTCTCAAGTCTCTGTCGTGCTGTAAACCTGATTTTCTCCTTTAAATCCACTCTAATTGTTGTGTGAGTTTCTTGTGGACTTTGACTCGTGATTGTGAAGCTCCGGTCACAGAATGATTAACGCTGGTTTTCGACGGTGAAGGCTTTAAACCTGCAATAAAAATATGGAATGGATCTGTTTTGGTGAAGCTTGTGTCGAGATGATGCCAGAAAACTGTAAAAATATGAAGTTTAGGAAATGAGACACTGACACACACACACACACACACACACACACACACACACACACACACACACAGACACAGACACAGACACAGACACAGACACAGACACACACACACACACACAGACACACAGATACTCACACACACACACACACACAGATACTCACAGACACACACACACACACACACAGATACTCACACACACACACACACACACACACACACAGACACACACAGACACACACACACACACACACACACACACACAGATACTCACAGACACACACACACACACACACACACACAGATACTCACACACACACACACACACACACACACACACACAGATACTCACAGACACACACACACACACACACACACACGCAACATGAATTACATATTCGGTTACCCCAAAGACCAGACACCATATACAAATAAACCACACCAACACCCCCACTGCACTATGTTTATGTGTATAAGCGCAACTACTTCACTACACACGCCCAAGAGCACCACCAGCAAAATAGGGATGAACAAATCTAAGAATGAACACACACGCACAGCGAGCCACAACACAGTAACAAAACCCAGCGCCCCCAACAAAGCACAAGAACGCTCCACTATCACACACACACACACACACATCCTAATACCATCGATATGATCTTCGCACAAACACCTTTCTTGGCCCCATATACTGTAAGGATATATCATGCGGGCAACTTGGGATCCTTCAGTAAACTAAAATTATCCACTAATAATGGCATTCATACCCACCAAGAATCAGACTGGCATACACGATTCCACCAACGACTCTATATACTCTTTTCCAGATGACTTCCTCATATTTAAAGATGGAGCCCGTCATAAGCCGTTCTCCGATAGTACCTCCAAGAGTCCCGAGCTCACCAGGACCACCAAAACAAATGTGCGCACAGTACCCGAATTGCCAAAGCAGCCCACCATCCCAGTCAGATAAGATGTTGTCGTAGTATGCAGACAAGCAAATGCGGCGACACGTACAGACTCGCCCACATCTTCCAAGACCGCTAAAGACCAAACGCTACACCCGCCACGAACAACAGAAATGTCTGCGCCGCAAGACTCATTACATCGCGGCTCTAAGCCTGGCGGAAGTACGCGTCGCACAACAAACAGCTCCCCAGCCAACAAGCCACTGCTGCATCACGACTCGCGGAAACGCACAACTACTCTGAGCTAGAGACCCAGAGTATGACGAATCATACACGGAAATCTAAAATATCATACGAAATTTCAGCACATCCCACATCGAGCTACACCTAACCGCGCACACCCGCAGCAAGCCATTCTCAATCGACCCACGCCAATGCAAATGGCTGCAGCAACACGTGCACCTCACATGTTATGAAAGCAGAGGAACATCCGACACCAGAAGCACGCCTCGGAACTCGTCCCTGCACACATCAAAAAACATCTTTAATTACAGAGCATGGAAACGGGACCTAAGCTTCTGAGCACCAAAAGCCTGGACGTCCCAGCTAGGCTCTTAGCGATAAAATTAGGCAGACATCTTAAGAAGTGTCTAAATGAGTTCTTACCCTTGTACATACTATCAAACTATCTACAGTCTTTTGCTACCAAATGCATACGCATTAACCATTGTTTCTCCATACCCAATATTCTTCTAAATTCTACCACCACCCGACTAGCCCAACAGAACTCTCTCTCTAGCCCCGAGCTTCCCACATACTCTCCTGAGATGAAATCCATCAAATTAACTCTGTCAATCACAAGATCAGAACTCAAACTCCCATCTACCTTCTTGACAAATTCAGAATCGTGAATCACTAATATGAACCGTAGATTTTAACTGAATACAGAACTGGCTACACACATGCAACAAGCATGAGCTCAAGATCAGATAGACAGGACACTACGTTCTCGGGACCATCTAGAAGGGACAATCCATCTACCATCTATGACCATAACCACCAGCCTATACCAGCACATATACATTTTCACTACACCATACCTACTCTTTAGCAACCCACTTTCGCTTACTAATCTTGATAGACCTGAAATGAAGCATCGCCAATCAAAAACTAGGATCCCATGATCACACAAGACCTGCAAAGGTCGTGGACAGCACAACTAGCACGGTCAGATGAGGCGATTTAAGTACTACCTGGTTTGGGGGAGGGGGGGGGGGGGGGTGGGGGGGGGGGGGGGGGGTGAGGGTGGTGGGGGGGGGGAGGAGGGGGGGGGGGGGGAGTGGCGTGGGGGGTGCGGCGGAGGGGGGCGGGGGGGGGGGGGGTGGTGCGGGGGCGGGGGTGGGTGGGGGGGAGGGGGGGGGGGGGGTGGGGGGGGGGGTGGGGGGGGGGGGGGAGGGGGGGTGGGAGGGGGGGGGGGTGGGGGGGGTGGGGGTGGAGGGGGGGGGGGGGGGGGGGGGGGGGGGGGGGGGGGAGAGGGGAGGGTGTCTGGGACCTAGTTGGTTACAGAGTGCAATTAATTGATCGGGGGGGGACAGACAAGAGTTAATAATATACATATATATACCGGGAGAAAATTTCTTTGTAAATCTGCGCTCTATACTGATCGGGCGCCATAAGAGAAGAATCTATATGGGCAAGGCATAATCCGTCTCCATTAAATATGGAAGGCATTTATTCGTTTGGGGGGTTAACATATTCTAGGGGTGAGTTGTATTCTGCCTTATTCTTTTCGGGATACCCTTCCTAAATAGGAGACAGCGATATTTTACTGCGAGTTCCACACGCTCTTGATAGGTTTTCAAATACAAACCTTTATAATAGGATTGTTTGGCTTATGTTGCAATATAACACTGTTGAGTTGTGGGTAAAACTAGTAGGCATAGAGGATAAGTGGCGGGGGTATATTCTATTTGTTAGTATTTGGGTACTTAATATCGTTGGAAGCAGCGTGCACCGAGTGCTTGTGATCGAATAAGATATAATATGCGATTGTTATCTCTAGCGAGTTACGTATTGAGATAGATCGGTAGTCGTGCTAAGAATAGCTTAAAAAATGGTTGAGTGATATAGTAGTAGAGTAGAGGATGGGAGGTCTGCGTATTTGGGAGGACCTAAAGGAATGGGTGTATGAGCGCTTTTTGGCTTTCGTTTTGGATGCGAAGATAAAAAAGTAAAAAAAATGTAGATCTAGATATGTGTAAATGACCGATAATTGATGAAAACAATGATGGCGATTAGAGGAAATTCTAGAAAAATAATTGGGGGAGTGGAGGGTGCGTATCTAAGTAAGATGGAATTAGGGTTGGATATTTGCGTTTGAGGGGGGTATTTAGGGGGAGGTCCGACAATAGCGAGTAGGAGTTCGAATAAAGATTGACAATACTTCCTTTTTAATATCTTTACATGGGTGTTATTAAAGAATGCTAATTATTAAAATTAAAGTGTTTATAAAATATGCGGTTCTGAATTAGAGGGTAATGCAGGTATCCGAGGAGATATATATAATATCGGATTGGTGGAAGATGTGGCTTTAGACCGATAGAAGAAGTCTTATCAGTAGTATATAATATAGAAAATGATAATGATTACTATGGTAGATAAGAAATTATAGAAAAATAATCAAATTATGTGAGATATATAAAGGAGGAATATTTAAGGTCATAATAATATGATGTAAGAGAAATTGGGTATTTGTAGAAGGGGTATGGATGGATTGAAAAAATTATTATATATATTTTAAAATGATGAAATTCGGAAAGTAAATTAATGATTGTTGTGATACGGTCGGTTAAAGCATATTTGTAATGAGAAATAGATAGTATCTAGGTTAAGATGACATAAATTAATTGTTTGTTGAATTGTGGATTTTCAAAACACAATACATTATTGAATGTTTGAAGCAAGAGGGACTAGTCTGTTTTTATGCACTATTCGTTCTTAATAAGAGTTATTAATTATTATTAAAATTATTTTAAATGAAGCAATTAAAATATATATTATTAATTACATAATGTATGAATATAATAGCTAATTATGGGGAATAGGGGGGGTAAAGGATTTGTGAATTAGATTAAATTAAGAGATTAGGTTTTTGGATGATAATTGCTATAAAAGATGGTAGGGTGAAGAAGTGGAGAGGAGAAGTGTATTTCTATTATAGTAAATTTTAGAGATCAGTATGTGCGTTAAGTTATAAATGGCGATGAGATATGAGAAGAGCGCTAGGGGGTTTGTTAATTCTAAGGGGTTACTGTGAGATTGATCTATGAAGCGTGGTGAAGTAGAGAAGGGAGGTTTTGTCTAGTAGTGCGTATAGGTGAATGTGGATAGTAAGGTAGTATTATTAATATGGAGGATGGGGGGTGAATATTTTTGTAAAGAAGTAATTGAAATGTTTTAGTTATAAAGAGCGTAAGTTGAAAGTATGGGGGAGTGTATTATATGTTTGAGAAAGTATTTTAATTGAGAAAGAGTTATAGGAGGTATGTGAGGTGTAAAGAAGTTAAGAAGGGTGGGAGAATAGTGGGGTATATAAGTAAGGGGGATGGTAGTATTGGTGATGGAGTGATTATGTGAATGTGTAGATATATAATAGGGAAGAGGGGGGTTTATAGGAGGAGAGGTTTTAGGAGAGTGGCTAGGATGTAGGGATGTGTGGGGGGGTGCGTATTGTTAGGTTAGTATATTAGATTAGAGGGGTGTGTGTTTAATAGAATAGATTTAGATTTAAATTGGGAAGAATAGAGGAAAGAAGGTATGTATAAAAATGTTTAAATTGTTATGTTGATAGGGAAGAAATAAGATTTAATAGGGGCTTGAGTGAAGGGAGTGTGATTTTAATAGTGTGGGGGGGTATGAAGGAGAAGTATGTGAGGTAAATTTGGAAATTTTTTTTGGTGAGTATGAGATATAAGTTGGTGTTAGAATGGTGGGAATGGGGGGGATTATTAAATAGATAGGGGATGGTAATATGGGTTGAGATAGTTGTTCGATGAGGATTTGGAATTAGAGATAAGCGTGGGTTGATAGTGGAAGTGGGGATTGGAATTGTAATAGGGTGGAGAATGAAAGAAGGGTAGGGAGGGGGTTTGTAGGGGGGTTTTGGAAGGGTGGAGGGGGTGAAGAAGAATGATGTGATTTTTTGTGGATAGAGGTTGGGTGAGTAAGTTAAGTTGTTTATTAGTAAATGATAGGGATGTGAGGGTAAGGGAGTGTGATTGTGGTTGATAGTAGTAGGAGTGATGGTTGTAAGGTGAGAGTTTGGTTGAATGGAGTATAAAGAGTGAATAGTAAGTAGTTGATGGAGTTGTTGGGTAGGAGCGAGTATATGTAGTGGATGTTCTTTGATTTTATGGGTGTTGAGTAGGTGTTGGTGTTGTTAGTTGATTGGTGGATTATATGTAGGGGTGTGGAAGGTGAGATTGTGTAGGTGTGTGGGTGTGTTGTGTTGAAGGAGATTTGTTTGGTTTGGGGGTTAGGGGATTATGGTGATGTGGTTAGGTATGGGGATTGTGTGGGGTGGAGTATGTGAGTGTGATGGGTGGTGGAGTGGTGTTGTGTGGAGGGGTGTGTTTGGTGTGGTTGGGTGTTGTGTTGTGAGTGAGGTTGGTTGATGGGTTTGGGGTGTTGAGGTGTTGGGGGGGAGTTGTAGGGTTAGTTGTGGGGGGTTGTTGGAGTTGGGGTGGGTGTTGAAAGTGGGGGGGATGGGTTGGTGGTGAGATTGGGTGGGTGAAGTGGGGTTGTGAGGTGAGAGGTTTGTTGGGGGTTGTTGGTTTGTGGTTTGTTGGGATATGGGGTGTGTGTGGTGGTTTTGGTGTGGGGGTTGGGGGTGGGGTGTTTGTGTGTGAGGGTGGTGTTTGTGTTTGTGGTGTTGTGAGGGTGGTTGGGGTGTGGGGGGGGTGGGGTTGGTTGGGGAGGGGAGTGGGTATTGGAGGGGTGTGGTTTTTTGGGGGGGTGGGTGTTAGGTTTGGGGTTGTGTGGGGGTTTGGTGTGTTGGTGGGGGTTTGTGGGGGTTGGGTTGGGTGGGGGGTGTGTGTTTTGTTGGGGGGGTTTGGTTGTGTTTTGGGTGGGGTGGTTTTGTGTGTTGTGTGTTGGTGTTTGTGTTGGTGGTGGTGTTGTTGTTGGGTTGGTGTTATGGGTGGGTGGGGGGGGGGTGGTTGGGTGGTGGGTGGTGGGGGGTTGGTGGGTGGGGTGTTGGTGTGGGGGGGGGTTGTGGGGGGTGTTTTGTTGTTGGTGGTTGGGTGTGTTGGTTTGGTGGTTTTGGTGTTGTGGTTGGTTTGGTTGGTTGTGGGGTTGGGGGGTGTTGGTGTTGGTGTGTTGTTGTGTGGTTTTGTTGTGTGGTTGGGTAGGGTGGTTGTGAGTGGTGGTGTTTTTGGTGTTGTTGGGTTGTTGTGGTGGTTGGGTTTGGATGAGGGTTATGTGGGGTGGGGGGGGTGGGGGGGGGGTTGGTTGGTGGGGGTGGGGGGGGGTGGGGTTGTGTGTGGTGTGGGGTGTGGGTGTGTGTTTGGGTGGGGGGGGGGGGGGGTGGTGTTTGTGTTGGGGGGGGTGGTGTGGTGTTGTTTGTTGTGGTGGGGTGGGTGGGTTGGTTGGTTTTTGTGGTGGGGTTGTTGTGGGGGGTGGGTGTGGTGGGGGGGGGGGGGTTGGGGGGGGTGGGGGGTGGGGGTGGTTTTGGGGTGGGGTGGTGGTGTGTGGTGGTGTTTTGGTGGTGTTGGTGTGGTGGGTGTTTTGTGTGGGGGTGTGGGGGGTGTTTTTGGGTTGTTGTGGTTTGGGGGGTGTGGTGTTTTGGTGTTGGGTGTTGTGTTGTGGTGGGTGGGGTTGGTGGTGGGTGTGGTTGGTGGGTGTGTTGTTGTTTGGGGGTTGTGGTTGTGGGTTTGTGGTTGGGGGGGTGTTGTTGTGGGGTTTTTGGTGGGTGGGTGGTGTGTGTTGGTGGTGTTTTGGGGGGGTTTGGGGGTTGGTGTGGTTTGTGGGGGGGTGGGTGGGTTTGGTGGGGGGTGGGGGGGTGGGGGGTGGGAGGGGGGTGGTGGGGTGGTTGGGTGGTGGGTGGTGGGGGGTGGGGTGGTGGTGGGGTGTTGGGGGGGGGTGGTGGTTGTTGTGGGTGTGGGGTGTGGTGGTGGGTTTGTGGGGTGTTGTTGGTGTTGGTGTTGGGGTGGGGGTGGGGTGTAGGGGGTGGGTGTGTGTTGGTGGGTTGTGTGGTTTGGGTTGGGGTGGGGGTGGGGGGTTGTGGGGTGGTTGTGTGTTGGGGGGGGGGGTGGGTGGGGTTGTGGGGGGGGGGTGGGTGGTTGGGGGGTGGGGTGTGGTGGGATTGGTGGGGGGGGGGGGTGGAGGGGGGGGGGGTGGGGGGGGGGGGGGGGGTGGTGGTGGGTGGGTTGGGGGGTGTTGGGTGTTGGTTGTGGGTGGGGGGGGGGGGGGGGTGGGGTTGGGGGGTTGGGTGTGGGGGGGTGGGGGGGTTGTGGGTGGTGGGGGGGGGGTTGGGGTGTGTGGGGTTGGGTGTGTTTAG